CACTAAACAATTCCGAGAAACGGACAAAGGAATTTTTGTAAACACAATGACGCCGGGCGGCCGTTCGGCAATACCGAAGTTCAGTGTAACAAAGGAAAAGTCCCAATCACTCAAAATGCTCTGATAAATTGTTTAAAAAATTATTTCACATCCTAAAATCACTTGCACTGAGTCCCGCACTTTGTATTTTCCATGTTCACAGGCGGTGCTGGTTTTCTGTACTCACTAGGACCCCGATTTTAACGGATCTTCACTACGCGACACCCGACCGACCGTTCCACGTACCGCCGCCGAACGACTGAGTCCCTACTCAAAATGGCGTGATGTTGAAGGCGGCGCTCGAGTGGGGGGGTCGCCAGGCGATACTCCGCGCATGCGCATAGCAGACCGTGCATGCGCGCAGAACACCGCGGGCAGTCTCAATTTGACGAGATAAGATAATTGCGAAAATTCTTAACCTAATAAATAATTCTCTTAAAAAAAACACTGCAATCACGTAAAATTCAATAGTCAGTGAAAAATAATTGATTGAAGAGAATTTAGCGTGTGGATTTTGGTCTTGACCATCAAAAACACTTCGATTGGATCTCTGTAACGGGAATGGGAGTATCAGATACATTGAATTACGTTCTGTTTTCTAATCCCGTCAGCTCGAGTGCCGGTTCGTTTGCGAAAACTGCTGCATCAGCTGTAAGTCGCTGTTATTTTTTAATAAAAAATAAGAGGAATCAATTTATCTATTGTTATTGCCTGATTTTTGGAGACTGGGTAATGTTTCTATAGTTTATTCTATTTTTGAAACTTCGAGGTCATGTAGATACCATACAGCGATCAAAATTGTTTTTTTTTGACATTTGTTAATTACATGTTATCAATTATTCAGGCCTCAAGCCCCGTATTGAGTACAAACTGGTTCCACCTGAGCCTTCGTGGAAATCGGCAGCAGCCTCAGGGCCTTATTTGAAATTGGCAGGACTTGGTATTCACTGAAATTGAAAAATGAAAAATTTTCAAAAAAGTATCAGAGGAGCATAAAAATGGAGCAGGTATTCACTGAAATTTAAAAATTCGAAATTTTTGAAAAAGTATCAGGAGAACATGAAAATCGAGGAGGTATTGACTGAAATTTGAAAAATTCGAAATTTTTAAAAAAGTATCAGGGGAGAATGAAAATTGAGGAGGTATTCACTGAAATTGAAAAATTTTAAATTTTCAAAAAAGTATCAGGGGAGCATGAAACTCGAGGAGGTATTCACTGAAATTTAAAAATTCGAAATTTTGATAAACGTATCAGGGGAGCATGGAAATCGAGGAGGTATTCACTGAAATTGAAAAATTTTAAATGTTCAGAAAATGAAATTCACCCAGTCGATTGGGCCCTCTGACAGCGGGACTGCTACTGAGGCAGTTACCGAGTCGGCTGACGGGTGGACACCCCACCATTGGGTGCGCCCCCCTCTTTCTCTTGGGGTGAGGTACTACAACACCGGTGGGGTCACTCGAACCCCCACTGAGTGCCTCAGTTCTGCGGGAGCACCCCACCCCAAGAAAAAGAGGGGGCCGCACCCAATGGTGGGGTGTCTACCCGTCAGCCGACTCGCTAACTGCCTCAGTATAGTGAATATTGTCAGAGGAGTAACCTCGGACGTAACCCCCACTCTCCGAAATCCTCACTTGTGGCCGTGTTCCCCACCAGTCAAGTCGAACAAAACCGAAGTTACTTCTTTGGTAATATTCAGTATAGCAGTCTCGCTGTTAGAGGAACCAGTCGACAGGGTTTATGTTATTTTCTGCGTTACCAAATTGGTATTCACTGAAGTTTTAAAATTTTATGGAGTCACTTAAAATTTTGCCCCCATGTGACCCTTTACCAAATCCAATTAACCTTTCACCTCTGACAGTGGGACTGCCTGTGAGCCAGTTATTGGGTCAGCCGACGGGTAGACACCCCCATTGCGTGTGGCGCCCTCCCTCTCTTGGGGTGCAGTACTAGGATGCCGCGGGGGTGACTCAAACCCCCAGAACTGAGCCTCTACTTTGGTCAATCCTCTTTGGGCTAAAGTCTAGAGCTGTCTAGAGGACTAGAGGTCGAGTTGGATGAGTTCCGGGCGTTCAATCGACCCCAAGCCGATGGTGATGTCACCGCATGGTAAGGATGATACCACCAATGCTCCCACCTCTTCCATCATGTGGCTCCATCTCCTGTATCTGTCAATCTCAGACCAACTGTTTTACCATTTTCATATTTAGCGTCAACAGTTTAATTCCGTATAAATTCAAATAAACTTTGAAAATCATAACAAATCCACGTGTGTTCTCAAAAAAATGGATCAGGAGGTCCAGATCAGTCGTCAATTTCTCGCCCACATTGGACTATCCGTTGAAAAGGTTAAACTTTCCTTCGTTAAACGTTTGTTTCCTGAATTTGGAAAGGACAGGGAAGTCTTGCTGATCTGCAATTTGTCCCCTGAGGAAGAAGAAAAGATAATGAGTCCCAAGGGTAGGGATGAAAATTCAGAAATGCTGGACGTCACTGGATCACCACTGGAGCATTCTTATGGAGATGACAGCTTTAACGTCTCAAGGACATCATTGAGGAGGAATTGGATGAAGAACGAGGAGAGATTCATGTCGATTCATCAAGTAGCAGCTGAAACCCTGAATTACACCCAAGAAAAACTGAGCAATGCCAAATTGTGGACGACACCGCTCTTTGTCCTTGCTGATCCTCAGGAAAGTAATGAAAGATGTATTCTTATCGGTTCACACTCAGATTCTCGTGGTTTCAGGACATTGCGAATATGTTTAGGTGGTACGATGTTTCTCTCTGAGATTCACGAGGCCATTCAGATGGAAGTGCCATTTATTCAACATGATAAAAATGAAATGAATCTACAGAATAGGAAGAAAGCACAGGTGAAAATTTATAGTGTTTATGAAATCTCTGGAGTTGATCCGGAGATGGTGGATTGGAAGGACGAGGAGAAATCAGAATATGGAGGGTATTTGAGCATAGAGACTAGTTGGGAGGAGCTGAGTTTCATTCCACCCTTGAGGAACTCTTCTAGTACACTTTTTGCTTCAGTAGTTAGTGGTTCCAAGGCCAGTCCTCTTACGTCTCTTTGGAATGAGCTTCTGTTGCTGAAAAACTACCTGGCAATGCTAGAGGAATACCAAACCAAGCACATGTCCTCTCGTTATAGCGTTGCACCACTCAATTTTCCTAAATGTTTTAGCAATGTGTTTCGCGAATCGACGAGTAAAATCACCAAGAAGCTTCATCAGATTTTAGTAGGAGACGATGCTTTCGATGACTCAGAAGTGATAGACGATACATCAGTTGCTGAAGGCCCCAGTGAAGATGATTACCAAATAAAATTGTCTGACATGGCGAAAGTTTTGGAGAAGCGGCCTGATCAGGATTTTGCCAGTATTCTTTGGAGAATCATCAAAGGTGCTGACAGCTATACAACCATGACTGACTGCATTCACACTGTTTTTGAAGCTATTTCAATGAGTAATTTCAAGCCTTCGTTGAACGTTGGAGATGACACTAGATTTGGTAAACTCGTTGGAGGTTTGGACTCTGTTGAAAAACAACTTCCTCAGTTGGCTGGAAGTATTTCAATGGAGCTTGTCGTTGATATGGGACTGGAAAAACTTGTTAGGGATTACACGTATCTATTATCTACGGGAAATTTAATGGAAAGTTATGATGCCAGGAAAATTTTAAATAATGTTGCTGAGGGAGTGTTCGATGTTACAAAATACAGGTATCCCTACAATCAGTTTAACTTAATGTGTAGCACAAGCTAGAGTTCTTTAATCTGTTTAAGTACCTTGTTTTTAGAGAGAAGCTCATGACTCTCGCACAGATTCATATGTCCTTGGAATTTCTTCAATTGATCCAGGATCAGTTGAATTGTCGTATGGACGTATCTCGATCAATATTTGAAGCAGCTCTGAAGATCTACAAGGCCCCAGACTCTCCACTGAATTTTCAAAACCTTGAAAATCACGTAATTTATTCATTAAACGTTTCAGCACCCAAGAATATTGTTTCCGAAGTGATGAAAATGTACGTTAAATTGAGACTATTTATTCCATTGACAGAAAGTGCGTTCAGATTTTTATCTTGATGAATATTTGTCTAGGCCCCCTGCCTCGTGGATGTGCACGCTGACTACTGATGTCACACTGCAGAGCTATAGTTCAGTTACTCATTACAGTCGTACTCCAATATTTCCACCCAATATATACAATTCAGGTAAATTAATCAATTATTAATTATGAATTGTAAAATAATTCTTTATCACCAACACGAGAAAAATGTTTTCCATTTTCTGGTTCATATAAATTGTTTAAATAAATGATTCGAATGGATTTTACAGAGGACATGCTGAAGGTCGAAACTGACACCGAGGGACCGATGTATTACGTTACCACAGGCAGTAGTATTCACTTCAAGCTAGCGACTGATGATTAATTGTCAATGAGAACAGTCACTCCCGTGTCATTTAAATTATCTTGAAGAGTCTGTAAGTTTCATACGATATTCTTACCGATATTTTTATATTTTACTGGATATCAGTCTTCAAAGTGCTCAGGAAATGATTCCGCTTTGCCATGGAGACTTCTGATTGGAATTATCTCTCGGGTAAAAATGATAGTGGATGAATGGAGGATGAAAATTATTCAACAGTTTCAGAATAATTATATGACAATATATTTAATCAACATGAGAATTGTATAAGCATATTTTTTTAATACATTTAATGTATAAATATAACTAGAATTTCTTTTATGAGTGTTTTGTACTGATCAGTCATTGACGAAAACTACACTCGAATAAATTGATAAATTATTCTATTTTCACTTTCAATTTGTGATGTGTTCTTTGTTACACTGTAGATTCATCAGCTTTGGGCGTTTTTTTCCAATCTACATGGTGAATTCATTTCCAACAATTTATCTAATTGCTAAGTATTATGCATTTTTCTGATCAGCGATCGGAGAGAGAGGTGAAAAATTGAGCAAAAACCAAATCTGATGCATCTACTTCTACTTTCGACAATTATTGATAATTTTCGTTGATTATTGAAATCTAAACCGTACCGGAATGGAATTCAATGATTTATAAGAGAGAAAATCGATAAGAACACCTTTAAAACACACAAAAAATTATTGAAAAAATAATGAATGTCCACTGTTCCATCTTACACATGCTTAAAGATACAATTGATACATTCCTAGCATTTACAGACAATGAAAATTGTTAAAAAATAATAATTTGTTTAAATATCGTGGGGAAATTAATATATTAAAACAATTATATTAAAACCAGATCCGATGAGACACCAGAAATGAGTCAGAACAGCCAAGCAGTATACATATATATATAAATAATAAAATTTATCTTAACTTGTGAAACACAAAGAACGTGGAAAAATCAAGTGAGATGGAAAATTCGGTGGAGTTATTTCTTACCAATAGTAAGTACCAATTATTAATTTGCTTTGTTAATGCACTTAATTAAAAAAAAATACTTAATACTGAGTTGTTTCCGTGTCGTCCATACTCGTGATGCTTGCTTGTTCTAGTACTTGCAGTAACTTTTGCATTTCCATCGAGTCGGTTGTGTTGTCTAGAGTTCGTTCCAATGCCCGAACGTATGACATACAGGTACGTCCTTCGTGATCGAGATTTTGAGGATTGGCTTTATGCTTAAAAATTCAGTAATAATTACACCAACCGCTGGCCATTGTTTTTTATTTGAAAAAAGTGTTAATTTCCTTACCCAAATGAGCAATTGAGCCATAGCTAGATTACCAGTAGCACAGGCGAGATGTAGAGGTGTTCTCAGATCATCAGCACTTACAGAAATATTGACATCTTCATAGGTGCACCGTGCCAGACAGAGAGTGAATGCCCTCATGTCTCCCCTGAAAAGAAAAAGAAGAACAATACATGACAAGAAATGAAAATTATCTGGCATTCCTCCAAAGAGGGATTCATCTCACCTGCAAACAGAGTCAATGAGAAGTTTTCCAAGGGAGATATTGGGATTGGCTGGAGGAAGAAATTTTTTCTCTTCGTATTTCCATCTGATCCACTGCTCCTTAGCCTCCCTGCTTGAATCTGGAGTAGGTTTGACCTTACCACCGAGACAATATTCCCACACTCCATTGGCAATATCATTACCAAGTGCCAGCATCACACTCAATTGGCCAGCAGACCAATCATCGAGATTCAAGGATCTAATCTTGGAGATATGTGAGCCCAAATTTCTATGAACTCCCGAGCACTCGATGCAAACAAGAACACCAAGATTCAAACTCGCCCAGTCAGGATTGGATGCTCCACAATCGGCACAAGCATCATTACCAGAAACTTTATTCTTGATGCACATCATCTTGAATGCGTCAGTCTCATTTTTCTTGTCGCCATCGGAATTTTGGAGACTCGATAAAATCTGTTGTTCAATGGCAGCAATCCATGAGTCTCTGTCATCAGCATTGCTCGCTTCAAAATTCCAACTTTTGTTCTCCAACGAGATAATTGAAAATTCAAAGCAATCATCGATTGTTGCCACAGTCTTAGATCCTTTTGGAGTCTTTCCAGGAACTTTAACTGTCACATATTGAAGTAGAATCTCTTTTCCGTTGGTATCGTTCATGTAATCATGCAAACTACAGTGATACGTTAATCTTCCATCCTCTAACAGAGTTACATACTTTTTCTTTCGTTCTTTCAGCGATTTGCTACTCCTTTTAAAGAGATAGCCCTGTTTAACTGGTATCTCCCTGCCAACTCCCATCTCACCCATGTTGTACTTCTCCTTTTTAGACGGTGTAAAAATATTTGATTTTCGCCTGAACTTTCTGATTGTCGTTGGTGTCAAAATGGAACTTCTAAAATCGTGGAAACTATCGCTCGTCAGTGTATCACATTGGGGAATATTTTCCTGCGTTGGCCTAAGAAACTCATCGGATTTTTCGGTCTGATGAATGACCTTGGAGGGACTGCAAGTGTCCTCTTTGGCATGTGACAGTGAAGTTTTAATGACAGGCATTGAGTATTTAGGTTCAACGATGTCACTCGAATTTTGACCGTTGCAACGAGATGGGGCTAATTGCGGTGAATTTTTGTTTGGCCCTGATTTATTTGAGCTGATGATTTTTTGACAGACATCTTGGAAAACACGCTCGACATTGAGACCGTAAATGGCACAGGTTTCGTAATAGGCGCATCGCAACTCGGAGGAGAGCTTTCTCGGTCGTACGTCTTTGATAACTCTGGGATTTGTGTCGTTTATGGAATCCTGAACACCCACCAGAATTTTTGGAACGTCAGACATATTTCGGAATGAACACATTTTGTTGTAATAGTTGCAGAGAATTGAGAAACTCTCTTCACTCTCCAGTGAGAAAACAAGTAGAATAGCATCGATCCACGCGGAAAATTGAGCCTCTGGGGTGCCACCCTCGTCTCGAATCAGTAGAAGATGACTCTGATCGTTTATGAAGACTTCCTTTTTGAAACGACCACCCTCTGGAGATTCTTCATGCATGAATGAGCCAGTCAGGTATCTGTGAACCAATGCTGATTTTCCAGAATCGCAGGAACCGATTATCCCGAGGTGGAGCTCGGGGACATTCCTCGAGAGCGTCCATTCGTGACTATTGACGAATGAATCTGAAAGATGAAAAATAATAAAACTAAATTAATAAGAATTGGTTCCTTATTAAAATGTGTTAAAAAGTGAAAAGTCTAAAAGAAGAAAATTTTTATTGAAATTTATATGATGTAATAAATTGAATTGAATTACCTTCAATGGCCACAACATGTTCTCGTATTTGTTTGGAAATATGAGTGTCATTTATAAGATCAATGAGATCGTAAATAGCGTATATCGAAGGATGTACACTCTCGAATCTTTGAATCTCATGTCTTATCGTCAGAGAATAATCGTGTCCACTTTGGCCACTTGTCATTGTTTCATTGACACAGTAATCACAATAAAGATTATTTGACAGAATACTTCCTCAATTCAGAGAATAAATAAATAATCTCACTTATATATACATACAATACAATAAAAATATGGTACAATTTTTCAAATAACCGTTTTACTCTGCATCACGATGGATAATCACACTTGCAATGGGCCAGTGATGATTACGTATTTACTACAGTAAAATCAATGTGCACTGTGTTATTATCTTTCAATGGAGACTGAAAATGTCAAATTTGCTTATATTTATAAACATGGTATGGAGTTGGATTAGGTAGGCGAACAGGTTAGTTGACGTAAAACGCAACTACTGCTGCTACTGCTCCAAAACGCGACCCAGTCGAAATTTCTCTCCTAGTGCCAAACCTCACAAACAGACAAAAACAGACACATATTTACTTGGTCGATTTTCATGAAGCGATAGCGATACTCCAATATCGCGGACATCACTCAAAGCACTCAAATACTCAATAAATCTGGGCGCGCTGGGTCCATAGGCTCGGACTACTTGAAAAGATTATCCACCCCGAAAAATCGTTGCTCTAAAAATATTAATATATTAATAATAAAAGGGCCCCAAATGTAATCATTAATCATCAATCATAAAAAATATGAAAAGCCTTCAGCATGCCATTCTCATTATAATGACTAATCAAAATACAACATGTTAAAATTATTACTATTATTATATTATACTATTAAATTTTCTTTTGCAGTTTTTTTTTGCAGCAGAAAATACTAGGAAAAGGAATAACCATTCACTAGCAGTATGCAATATCTGATGTATCACCGGCAATTGAGTTATAAAATGGTGATGTTATTGATGAGGAAGAGGATTGTGGGAGTTGGGGGTGCATAGGGGGTGATATTGGGCAGACTCTAAAATGAGAGTGGTGAAAATAGCTGTGAAGAGGTAGGCATTCACCCCTTGTCTCGTATACGTCATAGTGATGGGTATAGTGGGGATGAACTCATAGTTGGAGGGCGACATCCCCCACATCTCCAATCTCCCCAACACCCCCCGCACAACCACCATATCCTCCAACCCCTTGGATATCCGTGCTTGGTATCCGGCTTGAAGCGCCGGCGCTTTAATGTTTTTCCAACATTGACGTAGGCAAGATGGCTTTGAGTGTGTCAAAAGCTCTCCTATCACATCACAATTGCTACAATACAAGGCTATAGTAGGAAAGCTCGAGGTTCTCTTCTCTACGCGGATAACACCTGATACCACCAAGTATTGAGAATATTATTTTATCTAAAATTACTCTTCTCTATCTCTACTGTGTTAGTTATTAAATATCGAGTGATGTACACTGAATCTAAGCGATTTCAATGACCAACCAAAACACAGGCATCATTTTTCACTGTGAATTTTTTTTTTGTCATGTTCAATTGTCCAGGTTGTGAGTTTAAAATATACTTACGATGAGACATTGATTTGCATTGTGTTAGGCTCGTGTCATCTCAAAATGACATGTGCTGATAATATGGAGCAACATAGGAGCCTTGATGAGTCCGGCCAAGCATATTAATGTTTAATAGAACATTAAATTCTGTGAATCACATGCTACTTACACGTAATTCCTCCAAATTGCCTATATCATTCGAATAAATAGTGATAAAATCGCGAATATTTTGGCGTCAAGTCTGATAAATCTAATGGAGAGGCTAATTAAAATAATCTATCTTTATATATTGATGAATGGAGTGAATAGAATTCATTGGCCTCATTATGGCAGTCAAACCGCTGATAGCCCATTTATTTCATTTTTCTTCCAGTCAATGTGATAAAATATACCTATATGGCGGTTGACGAGTGATCGATAGATTAAAAAAGTTCAGTTCATACCGCTAAAATGAATTTTAAGTGTTGCATTGGTTTTATTCTCGCCTATGAGTCACATTGCGAAGATCGATTGTGGTGAAGTGGTGAGTAAAGTGTGTGAGCTTTTGGCTTCCGGGATTTCTTCATTTCCTTTATCAGCTTCTTTTTTTTTTCTACTTGAATAATTCGAGAAACGGAAGACAGCACTCTCTGCAACAATAGTGTACATATGCATTATTCCAAAAGGAGGAAAAATTCGCAGAGTGAATTTAAAAAATAGAACTCTCAGTGCGGGTTGTAGAAAGTGCAGCAGCTCCCGTTTCCTAACGTGACTGTATCTACTCTTATACACAAATCGATGTATGAATATAGGACTGCCGTTGAACTTTGTCCTTTATCACGTCAAAAATTTACTAATGAAAAACAAATAGTCCTCGATTCATGATAGTTTATTAATCTATTAATTATATTCAGAGGAATAAAAGGTACTGTTCTACGTGATTCAGATTAATTTAGTGTTCGACTCCATTATCGGCATGTCGTGATACATGACATAAAGGGGTCAACGTGATGAGGGGACAACTCGTGAATTCCATGGGGAATTTATGAACATCCTGGATTGTCCTGGGTTTTTCAACAATTTCATTTGACTCATTGTCAGTGAAGCGGTTTTGATCATGTCACTTCTAAATGTAACTGGTGAGTTGATGTATATTGATATATTTCTCTTGTCTATTTTTATTCAATGAACATTCCTTCAGTCATTGATGAATGTGACATTTGCTTTTTGCCAATTGTCCATTCGATGATTAATTTATCATTTTAATTAATGTATGCAATACGTCCTAGTAAATTCGGAGCAGCACATCTAATGCTCGGTTAATCGAGTGTACACATATATATATATATATTCAATTGTTCATTGTGTTTATTCTTGGATTTGTAGATATTGCATTCAACTGGAGGACTATTCAATGATCAAATGACGCGATACATGTGCATATAGCACCGCGCAGTCGTCTATATTTTTCTTTTTTTCTAAACTTCATTCTCTCGATGTATAAAGCGGTTTTTATTGTCGCTTACCCTAGTTTCTACTTGTCATTCTTATCAAGAAAAAAAAATATTCATAATTCTCTTGAAATTTTTGGGATTCCCCTGGGATGTTATACTCATTTTCTCACGCTTCCACGTCATAAACCCTTTTGACCTAATTTGTCATATTCTTTTTGTGTTTCAGTGAAGAAAGCCAGATTTGTTGGAGTACAAGGTAATGTGAGATGAATGTTTGTGTCGTAAATTTTCCACCACTCTGGGTAATTAAACATGTTTTTCATTTTCTAGCTCAACAATTCAATAGCTATGTGACGTTGAAGTTGCAGAATGTTAAATCAACGACAATTACAGTTAAAGGGGCTCTTCCATGTTGGGAACAGGATTTCCTATTGTAAATATCATTGATACTCAAGTTTTATTGCAGGTGAAATAAACAGGACCAATTAAGCACTGAGTAATAAAATTTATTGATTGCAGTGAAACAAACGACATTAATACTGGGCTTCTGGTTGAAGTGTGGAGTAAAGGAATGATTTGGGATCGAGCATTAGGATATCAATATATACCGTTGTCCGATGTTTCTCATGCTAATGAGGTAAATTTTGCCGCGGGAATCGATGGTTGTATGAGAGAATTTAATATTGTCTTTTAATATTATCTTTTTTTGTAGACCGACTGCGAACAATGGATGAGTCTCGATTCAGAATTGGAGATGAGGGGAGGCCAGGTTGTTGGTACCAAATCACCGACCGGCCATTCACTTCTCCTTGCTTGTCGTTTTGAACAACCTTTCGGTGAGTGAAATACAACATTAAGGCTCTTCTACACCTATATGTAGCCACAATTGATGTTTTTTCATTTTTCAGGCAAACTTACTATGGGATTGACCTGAAAAAATATAACGTTTTTCCGTTTTGTCATTATTTAATGACTCACGAAGTTTCAAGGTCGTGCGAAAATTTTTCAGACTTTTTGCAAACTTTTAAAACGAATAACAGAACTGTAGAGAAAATGCATTAAAATTGTGGCACCACCAGAAAACTTTGTGAGCCATTAAATAATGGCAAAAGCAAAAACGTTATATTTTTTCACATCAATTCCACGTATAATTTGTTAAATAGTTGTAAAAAACGATAATTTTGACTATATATGGGTGTGGAACATCCTTAATCAATTAATATTGCTAATTTTCCATATTGTGTGTTATGTTTCGTAAAATGCAGATCCAGAGAATACACGAGGTGCTGATCTTCAACGAAAGCTTGAAATGTTGAATACCACAATGGACCAAGAGGTACGCGCCGAGCAAGCGAGGAGGCAGATTCTCTACAACATTGGACACTGTAAGTTAATTTTTTATTATCTAACATTATGCATTATAAATGCATTCGATGCTTCAATTTGTTTTTATATGTAGCTGGCTACTCCGAGGACTCTGATTACACATCAGATCTGAATTATCCAGTGGGGGGTCAAGGTGCAAACAGTTCAGCATCTCAATTTCGTTCAGCGGCAAATCAGCTTGCAACACCACAACGCTCATTGGAGACATCTCGAGAGAACAGCTATGAACGTGATGATCATCAGGTAAACTGCTATTTATTTTCGGCTAATATTGTTTAAGCGTGTCCTACACCTATATAGAGCCAAAATAAACGTTTTTTCGTTTTTCTGGTAAACTTACTATAGGATTGATGAACATTTATGGGGCGAACAATTTTCTACGTTTTTTCTAAACTTTCAAAACGAATTACAAAACTGTAGAGAAAATGCAGGAAAATAATTGCAACACCACAAAACTTCGTGGGCCATTAAATAATGGCAAAACGCAAAGACGTTATATCTTTTTATATTAATCGCATCAATAATTTCCCCAAGAATTTAAAAAAACGTGAATTTTGCGTATATATGGGTGAAGAATATCTTTAATATTGATTTTGCTCTGAAAGACATGTTAATTAAAACGAATTTGTAGATTTCGGCGAGTATTGGGAGCCGTATTGGTGGAGTTTATGAATATGGTGGTCGAGGACACAGTCCAAGATATGAGCAGCCTTGTACTGATCAAGCTCCACTGCCTAGAGTATTGCCTCAAGCTAGTGGAGAGTCTTCCGAGCCATTATTTTATAACAGCCGACCAAGACATTACAAAGAATACAGGTACATATTCAAAATAATTTCAATCTGTCGATGAAAAATTACTCAACACTTTTTTCATATATGTATATATATATATATATATATCTTCTACATGGAAAACAGAAGGCGGAAACACACTTGGGATTACGAGGACAGGTATAGTGGTGTCGTTGAATTTTAATATTCACCTGTCATATCATTTAAAAATATATTCACGAAGAAATTAACATTCGGCGATTGCACTATTACATGAGTTATCACCAAAACAAAAATACCATACAAGTTATCATTTCTAGAATAATCATACATATACATGAGATATTTCTGACCTTCACAAAGCACTGGACACAAGTTTGAATTGTATTCCCCATTGATAACTTATTTATTTTTTTTTTCCAGTCAAGATGGCTGGTACAGCGAGGGATACGATTATCAAGCGACAAGAATCGATGATACAAGAATATGTAGTGATACTGAGTTTTATCCAAGTGTCAACGCAAGTTATAAGAGAAAAAGTACGTGAAATTTCATAAATGATGATTCATTATTTATCTTTTTGCTTATTGAGAAAAAATGAAAAATTTCTGCTCTACTAGTTCCACACAGGAGACCATCGCTCGAGCGACAAACAACTCTTTATGATGAGATGTATTATGGAACAGACACGTACATGAATGATCTTAGTGCATCAGAAATGAGTGCCATGTATCCAGTATTCAAGGGAGATAACAAACCAGATGATTATTACAACAATATTACCAGTTATGCTTACGAAGCCGAAAGGTATTGTACCACGTAAACGATAATTAATCCATTGGAAATTGAAAATTCATAATTGTATCCTTGGCTTTCCATTCTAGATATGGTCAAGATGATGAGGATCGACAATGGGATAGCGGAGGAAGATCGTACTCAGGAGCCAACGTACATCATCGAAACAATCGTAATCGAAAGACATTACCTCAGAGACCGGCATCATCCATTGGTATCCAAAGACCTAATTATCGTTCAACAGTTACACGACAGACAAGTTATGGATCTGACGAACTCGATGATAGGCAAGAGTGAATAATTTTAGTCTTTAGTTCTTAATTATAATTGCAATTGATATGTAATGGTAATTTTTTTTACAGTATTCATAATACCCACTGGCGTAGAAGTTTCCAATCTGAGCATCGTTCAGGATTTTTGCAGGATCGAAGTAGTACTGGAAAAAAACTTCCCCCAACGCCATCAAAGTCTAGCAATTCTGTGGGTGGAAGAAAGCCACTATCATTGCCAGCAACACCAGGTCGACAACTACCCCGAACTTATTCTTCATCGGTTGAAGATTATTATACACAACAAAATTACAATGAAGACTTTAATTATGCGTATCAAAGTAGTCAAGAACACCTACAAGACAACTATGTGGAAAAAGTGGAAGAAAATTCTCGATCGGAGAATGAACAAGTAGCCGTGCACGACAATCAGTTTGTGCCAGATTATATGACAGAAGGGACGCATCAATATTCTCAGGAGTTTATGGATTCCCAAGAGGTTTATAGCGATACACCTTTCATAAACAATTCATACGTCAGTGATTACCAGGATATTTACACATCTGTAGCATCAGCACCACTTACTAATAAATCAATGCATTATAATACTTATCAAGAAAATACATATCCCAGAACTAGTGAATCGTTGAATCATCATTATGGGAATGATAGTGAAAAAATGGAGATCGAGGAGACCTACCATGTACCTCAGTATGAGCAGAAAAGTATGATTGAGTCGTATGAAGAACCGTCCAAGCACGATATTCATCAGGACTCTCACACAGATTCATCATTTATCAAGCAGAATTCTTTCGGTGAATCGTGCCAACAAAATTCCTCCCTCGCATCGTACCACCAGGATTCCTTTCCAGAATCCTACACAGACTCGTATAAAGATAATGATGATTATCATGATTCATATGAAAAAGACAATAATATTCAATCACATAATTACACTAAACCAATATGTACTACTGCTTACGATAGGGAAATTGCCACGTCCGTTAACGATCAACGGTATACACAAGAGAATTATGACAACACATACAATATCCCATCGAGTACATGCCAGCAATCATATAATGAATACAGTGATGATCATGCCCAAGTCGTACCGAGTACAAATCAATCTGATCTTGATTATCATCAAGAGTCATTTAATAATCAGCAAAATGATTCGATTCACTATCAGGTCCCATACAATCAAGCCAGTGTTGTCTCAATGGAATACAAAAATGGTTATAATGACGATAATTATAGAAATTGTGAGGAACCTTATCATCCATCATATCAAGAGTCATACCAAAATGCATACGGTGATGTGAGTAATGAGAGACAAACAAATGAAGTGCCTGAATTATCGGTAACTACTCCCCGAGGACAAACAAGAACCAATGGATATCAGTCTAGCGAGTCTGAATATTTTTATCCAAGTGAAGAGGATCAAAATGGAATACCATTGACATCATCGAGAAAGAAAAAATTGGGAAAGCGTGATGTCAGCTCACTTGTTCAACAGAATACCGATTCACTGGAATCCCGCGATGACGAGTTAAAGGATTCATTTGAGACAGCAGTGAGTTCAGTAACGAGTAGTCAGCCGCGAAAAGTTCTCAGTGAATATTCCACAGCTGGAGAATCGAGTCCAGTTGCCCCAATGCACATTGAGTCTCCAGCTTCTACGCAATCACCAGCAATAACCATGATTAATCATACCACTGCCCCCGATGTACCCGTTAATGTTACAACCACTGCGATCATACATTCCAACATTACGACTAATGGTAAAAAATCCCTGACAAGAACAGAGTCTTATCTTGACGATAATTACCAGGCTGCAGAGGATGACGAGTACATGGCTATGGAAGCATATCCTAATGAACTTCAGCGAAAAGATTCACAATTATCCCATCAGAGTCAACACTCGAATTATTCTCAGAAACCCAAATTAACCAGAGGAGATTCTTATGCATCTGATTACTATGATGAAACTTATGATGAGAGCAGAAGAGACTCATTTGAAGCTGATACTAAGTCAGAATTGAGTCGAAAAAATTCGTATCAGCAACAGGACTTGTCTAGAGGCAATTCTTTGTATGGAAAAAGTATCACAAAACCCCAGGCGATATCCAGAGCGGAGAGTTATCAACGGGGCTATTTCAAGGATCAGGACTCAATTGATGAGACTGAGATTGTTCTGAGCAATGCCATCAATGGAGAATACAAAATGAGAGATGAAACATTGGAAAGGTGTGTTTCAATATTCTCCTACATTCATACATATCTTTACTTTTTACTTTTCTACATATGTCTACATGTTTCAGGTACGAGAGAGGTGAGGAGGCACTTGCTCAGGGATCAAGGGAAAATTCCCTGGTCGAACCCTATAAAAGTACACCGCCACTCTCGAGATCGGCCAGCCCGAGAGGTGATTATCCCTTATTATTCATCATTCAGGCTTTATGATTTGACTCTTGCATCTCTACAATATTTGTTATTTCAATTAATAACTTTTCAGGGAGCATAATAAAACAACCGTCTTTGGAGGAAAGTGTTCAAATGGACACACCACCTAGAAGTCCACCAGAACCTCCAGCCGATGAAGAGTTGATGGAGCTTGTGGGTGCAGCACCTGTGCCAACTCAACTGAAAGAACGACCGGTTATGACAGCCAAGCAGCGATGGCATTGGACCTACAATAAAATCATCATGCAACTGACTGTAAGTTTTATTCCTCTTTAATCAAACCGATTAAATTTTAAACATTTATCAACCCATATTAACAATATCCGTGGTGAAAGGAAACCATGCTAAACAAAATGACCATCAACCCTGATCTGATGTAGGTCTTTGGCCTAATTACGTGTGAATGTAACCGTGAATGCCTGGCCATCGGAAACCCCTATACCAAGAGATCGGTGAAATTATCACGTTCCCCTCAAGGTCTATTTCCACATTGGTTATTCAAATTTATCTATTCTCTCTTGTACGAATGAGCGATGTATAATATTATCGTGTCAGTTAAAGTTAATGATCAATCCTGTACGCATGGTGGCAAGAGTCAATTTTTTCGGTGATAAAATAATGGAGGAAGTGAGCCATCAGAGAACTGACTACCCAGGAGTCTTACAACACTACAGGGTTCTTAATGCTGTGTTGAGTGAAAAAACCGGCAAGGGGTCTTACAAGTTTGAGTTGGTTGAATCTACCATAGAGCCGTCATTTCAATTCAGTTGAGTCAGTAAACCAGTTCAATCCACTTAACGAATCTACCAAGACTTTGTCCTTGTATTAATTTTAATTAGTGGTTGATTAACACCTATTTAACTTGTGGATACCTATCGTGTATCAACGCGGCATAATGCCAGGCTGTTTTAACTATCAAAGCACTGTACTGTGATAAGGAGGCCGGATGCCGGTTACAACCGATAAACCTTCTCCAGTTGGTTGCGTTGTACTCAGTACACCACCGTCTTTACGATGATTAACAAATACGTTGGAGAAAATATATTGCGAGTGATATTGATTGTTGAATTTTTTTAAGTGACAAGAATCCGTTGTGTCGAATGCTTTGATGATGAGAAAAAACTAGCGGATAAAAAGAGAAGAGAGAAAAGGAAATCAACGACAATGGATGCTCGTGAAAAACCAACTGAGTGGGCACTTCTTTTTCCTTTGAAAGCCGGGTTATTCGCGGTGAAGACCTCAATATCGTCTCGAACCATCAATCGGGGAAAAGAACAAGTTTTGGACGGAAAGGAAGTGCAAATGAAGAATAAAATGCGACGTGGTTCCTCATTATCGGAGTTGGACAAGCTCCATCGAGAATCCAACTTTCCTCGTCCTATAGGATCGATAAAAAATTCATCTGAATCGCTACCACAATCACTGCCATTATCACGCACGAATTTGCAATTAAGTAGTACTAAGGTTCGTGGTAGCATTGGTGATTTAATGAATAGAAAAAAGTATGGCGATTCTAATTGGAGTGTCGAGAGTGAGACATTGATTGCTAAATTCATGCCCCTGAGCACAGTAACGTTACAGCAAAAATCTTCATCTACGGAGAGACATGATGAGGATAGGGTGGATGACAATCAGATAGAGTTGGCAACGCCTCAACTACTTACATGTGTACAGAGAACTAGAAAACTTAGTAGACTCATTAAAAGTCAACGGCGGGCTAAAGTCGTAAGTCCTTGGACATCGAGAGAAAAAATTGTAAGTTTTATAAATTCAGAGCAATCGGATAACAATAAATGACGGTAATAAAAGCCAGTCGTTATGTAAATTTTCCGTTTGCCATTACCTGTGATTATCGAGGACGAGGGAACATATTTGGAATGTCTGGAAAGCTACAGTTGTTACTGAAAAAAATTGGCACGGCTCGAGGCGTAACTGGTGGCTAGTTAGGGGAATCGTCTCAAAATACAACTTTCAGAGAATTTTAATCAGAGAAATGATCTCATGTAAAAATAGAAAATAGAAAGTTTAATGGAGAAAAACAGAAAAATATGAGAAATAATCCATTTTTAAAATCAACTCCCCTTTCTTATCATGTATCAAAATATGTCAGCTCAGAGTCACCTTGCGTGCCGTGACATTCTCTCGAATAAATTAATCCTTTTATATTTTTTATTTTCAAATATACGAAGTAATCGAGATTTCCACCGATTTTCGATAGAATTTACTCTGTAAATTTTCCATTTCTTCACGCACCGTTGATAACATATTGATTGTATTGACAATTTTTCGTAAATACTTGTATGTTTCAGGTGAGTAATAAATTAATGTATTTGCGGAATTCAGGCCATATACTTGTTGCGGAAATAATCGATGGTAGGTGAGTAGAACACAGCCTTTCAGTAATGCTCTGTCTCCAGTTAAAAAACCGTAAAACAAAATGCAGTCATCAATTTTGAATTTCTATTTTTAATAAAAATATTCTATCATTACAATTGACCAATAGAATATTTTGCATAATTGATATTATTATTTAAAATGTAGATTAATTTGAAATGTGTGAAAGTAACAATGAAGAGTATTGAATTTTCAATTGACCTTTAATATAGTATTGTTGAGGACAGAGAGTGTAGAGCAGTATGTGGACAATAGATAATGTGAAGGCAAATTGTTGATGTTTGGGAGGGAGAAACAGTGAGGATGATGGCATATGAGATTCGGATGGTTGGGACTCAGTGAATGTACAGGGGAATGGGAAAATTGTGGAGAACGTGAGGGGTTGTAGGAGGGGTTGCACAGGAAGTAGACTGGCCGAGAGGGACGACGAAATGCTGGGAACCCCCTGTGGAAAATCAATATAGTGGCACGGTAGCTTGAGCATGGCGCGTGTCGGCTCAACCGAGTGTCATTATTTTTTCACCATCTTTCGTATAATCCAATCCTTTCAATGGAGTTCATTCGATTTTTCCTCCCGTCCGGAAATTCCAAAGGCCAATATACATTGTCCGATTGTTCCACGTCGGATTCTAGTCAATTTTCCAATAGAATCGCCATCAATCACTGTCTAACAATTTCCATGTTATTCAAAAAGAAAATAGACATTGATAATTTTATTATTTATAATAGCTCATATCTCACCCATTCGTTTTAATTTGATGAGGATTTTATTACAATAGTTTGAAGAGGGAATTATAAATGCTTCGATTAAATTCTATTTTTAGATGAAAAATACAGATTGTTGTTCGGGTAATTGATATAGGTTCGTTTTAATTTAGTGGGAATTTTATTGTTGTAGTTTGAGAATAAGATGGTGAATGCTTGAAGAAAGGAGAATTTTCGATGGGAAATGGAGATTGTTGTTTGGGTAATTGTAATTGATATGTGTAATGATGAAATCTGGGATTTCAATGGGGGCATGGAGAGATAAAGGGAAAATAAGGGGATGAAAAAGGGATTATTGGAAGTAAATGAAAAGAATTGAGTTAATACGGCAAATAAGGCACCCTCATCACTACGTACCTGATAGGTTTTCCAACGCTTGCGCAATTCACCCTCAATGGCGGTGTCGTTTGTCGGTTTATCTATGGTGGGGTTGAAGAACGAAGGTGTAGCAGAGAATAGGCGAGTAAAAGCACGGAGAGAAGGGGGTCAAGAATTAGTAGCGAGGGTACACGTTGTGCCAGCCAACAGTAGCAAATGCCTGGCTACATCGTGGCTGTGCAAACTATGACCTGTGTTTTATCGCTAATTTTAAGTGAAATTTCGGTATTTTTAAATCGCCGGAAAATTAAATATATATATATATATAAATAAATATATAATTGATCCGCCAACTCTTCCTAGTTGTTGAATAATTTAGCTACTTCTATATTTCGAGTGAGAAGAATCAGCGATTCTTCCAACATCAACGAAATGTCACGAGCTCGGGATTTAATGACAAGTATTCAGAGTGTTATATCTACCGTACAGCAATTGTGCAGTGAATTGAAAAATTCCGATACGAAAATACCGAAACTCAAAGGATAATACGACTGCGTCAGTAATAATCGTTGTTGCAGATATAAATTGAAATATTGTGGCAATATTAATTCTTGTTAACGAAAGGAAGAGAGATGAGATGATAAGGGAGGAGAGAAGATGGAGAATGAGGGGAATGTTGCTAGGTTGCTGTCAGAAAGTTTCCAGGAAAAGTGGGAAAATCGATGTTGCCCTCACAAATGCCTTCCTTTATTCCTACGGAGATAATTTCCACTTACTTGGTTAATTTTTTTTTATTAAAACCATAATGACGCGTTGAAAATTCACTAATTGTCAAGATTACTGGCGTAGTTAATGGGATTGTCAATTTAGATGCTTATAGGCTGGAGAAGCCCCGATAAGGGAGGATAAGGGAATGAGGAAAATTGAGTGTTTCTTTTTTGCCATAAGTGGTGTTTAGTGAGCCGTGGGGGTGGCATCGTACGTGTACTGCGTAGTGAAATGTCCAATCGCTCGATATTAAACTTGTACATAACAGCCATCAATGATCATTTAATCCTTTTTAAATAGGTCGTTTTAAACTTCATACCGAGTTGAGTAAATTTTCCCTCAATTCCCACGTTCTCTTTTTTCTCTCTTTCTCTATTTTCTCTCACTTGTGAGGACATTGTTCTCATGAAGCGTCGATGCCAACTCAATTTTTATATCGCAGTGCTGTTGTACCATGAGGCGCATCTTTGCTGCCAGGACGAGACACCAGACCAATGGAAAGATCAACTGGAGCTGGAGCCCCTTGAATACGTTTCCTATTTGTCAGACTCTAGGGTCCATATACAGAGCATTTCGTTGATGAGAGAAAAAAAAAATATAAGTAAACTCGAAAGATAGATGTAGAGCTGGAAAATATTGTGAATGGAGCATATGACGAGAGATGATGTGCAGAGAACGTGGAATATCGAGGAATGGATGAAGAGAAAAATTCTGTTTCAAAGAATCCTACTGAATAATAATAATATCAATAATAAAAATATTATATAATATAATATAATCATCATAGTAATCATGATAATTATAGACATTATCTAGCAGAAGTGAAATCAAATAATCTGTTTGCTGGAATTTATGCAATCTAATCATCGCAGGGACATTTGACGACCAATCGAATACTGTCAATTACTAGAATATTGTACAATTAAGGATAAAAACTTCTTGCGTAAATACATAGCAATATCAATCGTTGAATCATCGTAGATGTTTGCTGTGATGTAAAAATTATCGGCATCTTTCAAGTATCGTCGTTATAATTTAAAAATTAAACAACGAATGTGAAACAAAATGTGTTTGAAGGGGAAAGAGCGAGTGTTTTAAACGGCCTATTAAATCAAGTATAATGTGAAAAGCCAGTGCGGATTAATTGATCGTGTGTGTTATTTATCTGGTACCTGATAAATAATTCTTCTTTCCTCGTTAATGGAGTAGAAGTCAATTATTAATGACGAATGATAATGTTACCAGTGTCGAGTTGAATAATCGGCTCATGTGTTTTGGTGTTGTTCGTCAAGGTGAGTTTTATGCAAATTTTTCATTATCGAAGTAATCTGTGTAAGTCTGATGTCTAGATTTCGATTGCTCAATCAATTTCCATGATTTCCATTTATTACTAAAGAGTGAGAAAATCATTACGAAGTGTTAAGAAATAATTGTCAATTTTTCTTTACGAATCCCGGAGAACCGCTTGATAAAATTGCCACGAAAAAATATATTGATTTCTAATTTTATCGAAGTAATCTGTGTAAGGCGGATATCTAGATTTCGATTGCTCAGTCAATTCCCATGATTTCCATTTATTATTAAAGAGTGAGAACATCATTACGGAGTATTAAGAAATAATTGTCAATTTTTCTTTACGAATCCCTGAGAACCGCTTGATAAAATTGCCACGAAAAAATATATCGATTTCAAATTTTATTATTTTATTCAATGTCTCATGAAGTTTTATCTCCGTAGAGAAATTTCCCGGCGTTATCAGTGAATTTGGGGAAAAATTCCCAGAACTACCGGAAATTTCGAAAAATGGAGGTGCAATTATAAAAATTCGTGAGTCATTGAATGATAAAACCAAATGATAGATTTTTTTCATGAGAATACGATCGACGGGTCAATTTTTTTTACGAATCCCTGAGAACCGCTTGATAAAATCGCCACGAAAAAATATATCGGTTTCAAATTTTATTATTATATTCAATGTCTCATGAAGTTTTATCTCCGTAGAGAAATTTCCCGGCGTTATCAGTGAATTTAGGGAAAAATTCCCAGAACTACCGGAAATTTTGAAAAATGAAAGTGCGATTATAAAAATTGGTGAGTCATTGAATGATAAAATCAAATGATAGATTTTTTTCATGAGAATACGATCGACGGGTCAATTTATTTTACGAATCCCTGAGAACCGCTTGATAAAATCGCCACGAAAAAATATATCGATTTCAAATTTTATTATTATATTCAATGTCTCATGAAGTTTTATCTCCGTAGAGAAATTTCCCGGCGTTATCAGTGAATTTGGGGAAAAATTCCCAGAACTACCGGAAATTTTGAAAAATAGAGGTGCGATTATAAAAATTCGTGAGTCATTGAATGATAAAACCAAATGATAGATTTTTTTTATGAGAATGCGATCGACGGGTTCTCAGGGAGAGAAACAGAGACAGGAAATGAGAGGATATTCGCGATAACTTGTTAACTGAGTAACCTCGTGCAACATGCAAAGCTAACAAACTTGGGTATGTGTCGATGATGGGTAAGCCAAAGTTATCTCAAGCTTGGCCCAGCTGTCGACATACTCCCCAGATAGCCCCTGCCAAGTCTCATGCCAAATCTTGACAATTGTTCCCCCTCCCGTGTCTCCGATCCTTGCTAACATCCTTGATTCATTTCCTACAGGGGGATCATTTTATTTTACTTCCACCGATTATTGTTTTATCCAAAAACCTTCACCATTATCTCATCACACCGTTCCAACCATCAATCTTTATTTTTCCCCTCATTTCCCATCATAAAATTAATATTTTTTCATTAAAAAACCCTAAAAAATTATAATAAATCTAAATGTACAATTCCGAACCAAAAGAAATTAATTATTATTCATTGATTACTAATTAATTATCAATTAAATATTAAATAAATTATTATTGATCATTACCCAATATTATTATTGTTCAATATTAACCAATTATTTTATTATTTCGGAGTTGTACACTTCGGATGTTAACAATATCATCATGGAAACTGATTTAATGCAAAATTTCATAACTAGTTCATGTGAGTTGCATTCACCTGTAGAAAATATATTTTTCTCCTCATTACAGATTCCTGTGACAACACAAACATCAAGTTACTTGTATGACGTCATATTAATTACGAACAGAGACAGTGATACAAAGTGAAGAATACGGATGTTATTGATTTAGTTGTCTAGTGAATATTTATCGTCAGTTGTGCGAGTGATATGAACTTGGACCGTCCACTGTTTTTCGTTTTTATTTAAACATCGTAAACATGGAAATAGTGGAAATAGCGGAAATAGTGGAAGTAGTGTGGATTTTCGGAAGGAATGATAGATGCAACTCGACTGATAATCTTTGAAAAGAGTCATTGAACATTTGATCGTGAGGCGAAAGGAAAGAGCATAATTAGTGAGGTGAAGTAGAATATATAAATATGTTGTGATATGAACGGATGAAGTGGGAATAGAGGGAATTTCTACTAGCCATGGATTCAACGAGACTTGGTGCAGGCCCTACTCCGGAAAGTGGTGGAACAGAGCATGGAACAACGGTTCCAAGCTACACCACTGGTCTAACTGGTGATGGCAATGTTGATTATATCATCAGCGATTACATGGAACGCCTAGGAGAACGTTTGAATATTCTCGAAACGGAATTGAAATACGCTTGGAGAGCCTTGGATCTTCTTAGTCAGGAATACATTAAAATGTGGGAGAGATTAGAAAAGCTTGAGGGTCTGTTGTACGAGCAGCAAACGGTGATCAGCCAGTTGATTGAATTTTATGCAAGTACCGGAGACAACGAAACTAGTGGTAATATTGTTGGTGAAACATTAATGAGGCAGCAGGGTTCAGTCGGAGAATTGGATGCGATAGCTAAGAGTCTTGGGCCAGCTATGGGAATCGAGGAGACTAGTGTATTGAGAGAGAAACTTGCACAGCAGGAACTGGCGAGAATGCATGGTTTAGTCCAGAATAATAGTGGTACTGTAGCAGTTATTGCTGATATGCATAGAGCTAATGCCAGGCATTTGGATAGTCTCGAGACTCTTGAAGAAGAGTCTAATCTTCCGGATGAGGCATTCTATCGCAGTCTTAATAATGCCTACAGAGAGGATCTAATTTGCGGTGAGACGTCTAGGTCCAGCTCTCAATTAGGAATGATATGGGAGGAAGCTGAGGATGTTGAAGATTCAAATGGAAAAAAAGATATGGAAATGGGAAAAGTATTTGGTGGTAAGTCTAGTGCAGAGGGTGATGGTATTGGCGATGAAACACCTGCTATGCAAACCGAGGGATTCTCCAAGAGTGAGCTTGGTGATGATGATGATGAGGATGATGATGAAATTCAGTTACAGCAACGAACAACGATCGATGATGGCGATGAAGATGAAGAGGGAGAAATTTTTAGTGCAGCTGATTATAAGAGTTATCGTGGCAATACACCCTGCGTTAGTGAGCAAGATCTCGCACAATTATCAAAGCTAAGTTCTCTTGATCAGGTTGCCCTTGATCAACTTCATACTATTGATAAGTTAACAAGCAGACTGCAAAAAGACTCACAGGAGCTCATTGAGCTCAATAGTAGACTCATAGATTCACCAAAAGGTCCATATAATACAGACGCTGAGTCTAAATTGGTGGAAGAAGCGAACAGTATAGATGAACAAATACGAAAAATTTATGCTGAGACTGATGTTGACAATTGGACGTACTCCAAGAGTCCTGGATCAACAGGCCGATCAATTTCAAGAGTTAGCACTGATAGTGGATTAGCAACTGATGGTGATTTCACTGCTAGATCCATCTCACCAAGACTGAATACCCCAAAGTCTCATCTTGATTCTATGGCATCTACATATTCATCATCGAGAGTTGGCTATGCTCCTGGCTCGTCATTAGAAAAAAGTCCAGAGCCCGTGGTATCACTACCCATCGATCCTGGAAATTTTGCCAAAGGTTATGCTGAAAATAAAGAACTTACAGATTTAATGGCCGAGAGCCTCGTACCCATCACTTGCAACTCACCCAACATTTTCGGTGTTAAAACCGATAAACTACCTTCACCCACATTATCAGCAGGGAGTGTTCAAAGTCTGAGAACTCGTCGGGATGGTTACTTCGATAGTTCACCGAGATTGAATTTAGAATTTGCGGAAACTAGAACACCTCCAAGTTCCCCCCCACCGCCAGCACCTAGAGATCCAGCGGATGCTTTTCTCATGACGAGCGGATCGGATCAACGTGATGTAAAAACTCCCGGGAAAATAGAACAAGGAAGATTGAGTCCTCACTCACCAAAATCACCAAAAGTATCTCCAAAACAAAGTACCAAAGTTGTGGGTACCAGTATCAATATTATCAATGCTAAATCAGATTCAGGCTTATCATCGATGAGTGGTTGGAGCAGTCTCGATAAATCACCAGGCTCACCGAAAACTTGTCTCGCTAAAATCTTCACATCCTATTCATTAGACCAGACTCGAGCCACTTTAACGAGTGACATTAAACCATTGAGATCAAGTCCTACGCCGTCGGGCCCAGATAAATCAGGAGTAACGACAAGTGCACCCACTATTATTCAAGAGCCTCTATATGACACCCCTGAAGGACGAGATACATTAAACAGCCTTACAGCCTCCGGATATTCAGCGAAATCAGCAAATCACTCATCCCTCTACTTGGTCAAATCACCAGAGCCTAAGGACGACTACAATATCGTACCTCCTCCTGCTCCAAGCCCAGTTGGACCAGCAGGAGTACCAGCGGCAGCAGCAAGTCCCAAAAAACGTGGTAGAACACAGAGTCTTCATCACACATATGATTCCGTACCACCTCCTGGTACCGGGGATTTTATTTACGGCCAAGAGCAGCCAGCCATTTACTCTGTGGCAGGAAGTAATCGTCAAAATGTCATCACTGGCTTATACACAAGTGGATCAACTTTCAGTGGCACATACGGATCCAGAATCACCAGTACCGATCAATTTTATAATGACGATGATACAGATCAATGTAGAGGTAATTATGATGAATCTTACAATGCTCTTCAGTATGCAGAAACTTCCTTGGGACAAGGGCGAAAACCAACGAGAGCAATGTCCTTCGGTGAAGGTATAAGTAATCATGATAACTATAAAGCAACTGTTTATAAGAATATGTTCCTCACTGGGCATATTACAGATGCCCTTTCTTATTACCCAACTTCCGTCAATCTTCCGTGCACAGAATCTAATGAAATTCCTTGGCTCAATACACTGGAATCCCAAATACCTCATGATTCCACGTCCTCGAGTATAAGGTCTTTGACTTCTGATGGAAGCTATACGCAGAGCCCGTACACCGAGAGAAGATATCCACAGCCTCCTACCTATGTCGGCCATCAATATCATCACTCATACATGTCTCAGCAATATCCACACAATCCGCAATCTTATCAGCAGCAGTATCAGCCTTACAATCAGAGGCTACCGAGTACAGAGAGCGCTCAGTTAACCGATCATTATCAAAAGCAATGGCAAAGAGAGCATCATCAATATCTACACGATCAAGATTCCTCTAGACCAGCAAGCGCACAATCCCAGAGTCAACAGAATAGCTATTATGATGCATCGAATGTTATTGTCTCACAATCTGGTTACATCAGTATTGCAACTGACATCAAAGATCACGAAGTAGCTAAGATGCCTAAGAAAATTCGTCGAGGTGCATCTTTGAAGAATGCAATGACATCCATGAGCCATTGGCTACCCGATCTTCATCATCTGACAAAGAGACACAGAAGTCAGTCGTTGCCTGGTGGAGTGAAGAAAGAAGATTTCGAAATATCTGAGCCACCTTATCAATCTTCTAACATTCAGCAGATCAATGTTTCCGCACGGGGACGCGGACGTCCAGGGCAGACTGCCAGGAAGAAGAAAAAACATATTCTGGTATCAACCGTGTCTGGTATTCTTCAAAAAGCCAAACGAAAGAGTCACCATCACTCATCATCGCTCTCTGATCCAGAGCAATCTGAAACTGAATGGAGCAGTGGACGACAAAGTGGCTTATCCGAGGATGAAGATAGTTTGACCTCTGATATTAATCAAGATCCACCCTTCTTCGCTAAAGTTCGTGCTAGTACAAAGAGAAAAGGATTGCCGATATCACAATCATCGTCAGAGCCTCCTCCTCTGCAATCTCCAAGTCAATCATTGCAGTCTCCACAGCAGATCCAATTATCCAATTTTCAACAGCAAAAGGATTATCTTCAACAGCAGATTCAGCAACACCAAGAACAACTTCAGCAGCAGGTTGCACAGGATAATTGGCAGAAAGAACGAGAAACACGTTCGATCAAACGGGAAAACAGTGAACATGATTTTTCCGAGGAAAATATGGGTCCACTAGCACTCGATGATGGACAAGAGTTAGGGTCAGGAAAGAGTACAGGATCGGGATCAGGTGGTTCTATGACAATGTTCCCAACAGTCGGTGATATTAAAAAATCAACAGGTAGCTCCGACGAAGCACCCAATGAAAAAGCACCAAAACTTCCACCTGTTACATTAATGGGCGGTGCAAGTATGGAATTTGCAGTTTCCCGAGCTCTTGGAAAATATCGTCAACGTCAATCCTCTACAGTATCAGACGATCAACCACTGACTGAAGATATTTCTACTGACAGAAAATTCGAGGATGAACAGTCGCAAATGGATATTAAAGAAGAGATCAATGAGATGGAACAACAACAACAAGAACAACAACAATTAATTGTTGAGGAAAAGAATGACAAGGTAGCGAGTGCAAAGCCTCCAGAGTTGGTGACAAGTCTGTCCGAGGAGGCGCCAATATCAGAGGGAAGTCCATCAGCATCTAGCACACGAGGATACATTGCCAATAGATTCTTACCTAGACATCAGCAATCATTAGAAATTCCATGGGGAGGATCTCGCAGTGGAGAGGGAGATGAGGATAACAGGAGTACCCATTCCTATAGAAGTACATCACGTGTATCATCACGACGTCAAAGTACCGAAGATTCAATTGATTCTGAAGATGAATGGTACTGCTATGAATTGAGAAAACTTGAAGAAATGGAAAGACAGTCGCAAATGGAGATTGAAATGTCCGAAGTGCTGATAGAAGTACCAGAAGATGCGGAGTCTTATCAACCTGATGATGACGTCAAAGAAAGAATGTCTTTTGTCCTGAGGGAACTCAAGCTGAAAGCTGTATCAAGAGAGGATGATGAGGATTTTAAAAGTACTGATATTGTGCAAAAGGGTACTGGAATTATCAATGGAAATATATCTGTACTTGTGAAGGATAAGTATTTAGAGGACGATGGTAAGCCGATTCCGAGAAAAAAAACAGCGGAAAGCATTGAAACGGTATTCGCTCGAGTCACTGATTACCACACTTGGGCACACGAAGAAGAAGCTAGACGAGATGAAACTAGGGCCCTACTACCGATGGATGATGAAGGCTCGTCAGGTGAAACATCAGGACCAGATAGTCCAGCTCATTCAATGGACGAAATGGAGGAGGAGGAACTAGATCTGCGTAAAGATTTAGAAGAGCAGTCACGAAGAAGCTCAAGCGGTTCCACAATGCGTCGCGATGGTGAAAAACTTCTTCAGGGCTCTGACTCTCTGTCACGTGAAGGTAGCGTAAGTGTAGCACCTAGCGAAGTCTCGTTCGGTATCCCGGCTCAATGGGATTCTGAAAGCACTGTCGTTGAAGGAGAACGAGATGGTGCCGGCAGCGCAGAAACCACAACACTGAGTCTTCCAAAGATCAAAATTGATTCTTCCTCTTGCGGTAGCTCCGATACAACATTGAAGGATGAACAGGTCAGTCCCGGTGGTCCATCTGGATCTCGATGGAAGCTCCTCAAAACATTAAAAGAACGTAAGGCTGGGGATAAACTTAAGGAACTTGAAGAAGCAGCTGCTAAAGAAAATGCTCTATCACAATCAACACCAGTGAGTATCATGATCAAATAAAAAGACCAGATCATCTTATCATAGACTCTCGAGATCTCGTACGTAGTCCGATATAATAGTTCAATCATTTTTTTCAACAATTTTTCAAGCATTTTTCACCAGCATACCGTAGTCCTTAAGTCCTTAAGTATTTCATCCATCAAATTAATTTCCCACTTTTTCGCTTCTCGTAAGGTTCATATAATAACGAATAGATATTGTAATACCACAACAATGTAGTCAATATGTTGAATCTACCCGAATTTATTACTCAAATCCCCTCAAAAATTCATAAAGCAAAAATTTAATTTCATCATTAGACGTAATTAGATCGAATGATCAATTGGAAAAAAATCATTAATCATACCGAAAACAGTCAATAATAAAATGATTTGCAATTAAATCGTACGAATCACATATATAATAGTATCAATAGTAGAAGCTTGCAGCGAATTAAGCTCTCATAAGTAGTTGAGTTTGAACGATCAGGGGATCTTAATGTATAGCCGGAAGTGTCAATTCTCTAGCGTCAATTTATTTATCATAAAACTCCTCATCTTTTCAATTTTTCCATTTTAGTAAAATAAATAAAGAACAGATGCAAAACGTAATCGTGGCTGAAGAAATTCCGAGGAATCATTCTTTCTTTCATAGTTGTCGTTAAATAAAAAGCTTTTTCACCACCGCGCATAGTGAGGGTGGATGAACTATGAGAGGATATCAATGTTAGTCCTGGCATTTATTCGATGATGATAGGTAGAGGATAAAGAGAGGAAATTATTGAGCTAGAGGTGAGAATAGCTAAGATATCCCTTGCATATGCACAACTCATAAAATATTTGCCTATCCCTTGACATTTGCATCATTAGAAAAATATTAGTCATTACTTCATATCAGTAACATTGGGATATTCGTACTAGATATCATATCATTATGTCTCATGCGTATTAATGCGGTTATAGGACTCGGGTATAACAAAGCTCTAGTTATTATGCTCAATGCCGAACAAAATAGTTCAATTAAATGATAAAGCTTTCGACTTACTGCTAATGGCTGGACTCATTAATAATTATCAATTGGCAGAGGTAATGCGTGTGTCAACTGTGCAGTATTTGCTGCATATTATTCAGATAAATAATTTGACATTTCAATTAGAGACATATCATTGTAGCAGTAGGGCCAAAAAATTCATTTTAAAATATAGAATATTTATCACGCCGCTTGTATCAACCTACAATTAGATTTAATCCCGTAGGATAACTATTCATTGAATAATTACAATGTATACCGAAATAATGCAGAGTTATGATGGAGTAACAATTGTTATAATAAAAAAAAATCCCCGGGCACTTGAAATTTCGGCGATTTACCTTTAATTGATGAGTTTTCCAGTTTTATTTGGTAATAATGACGACTTACTTCCAGCAAAATAGTTATATATTTCAGATGTATTATTTTCGATAATTCTAATTGACTCCATATTTAATGCGCTCTCATTCTTGAAACGCCAAAATGAAAAACAGCACGAATAAATTCCATATCTTCTCATTAACAATTATGTCAATATAAATCGTATGGAATAGTTATTTGTTACGTTGCGCATACTGTGAAGAAAAAAAAATTATTTACACTTGTTATGCTATTAATAAGTTTTGTAAGTTTTAGGCGACTGAAAACTGTTTATGATAATTGTATACTATACTATCTAATATGAACAATTTTACAAGTAATCTTAAGTGCAAAAATTGGCTTTTCTACACAAACCCCAAGCAGATGATGCTCACTATATGATAAATTGAAGATATACAAGATTTTGGATCTCAAATTGATAATTAATAAAAAAATGAAGCCTGACTTATTGATATATTATCGGAGGGAACCAAAAATCCATTGTTGTTTACTTTTTTACCGGTTAAAATCATTAGTCATTCAAATCAGCTGTATATTTCGGTGAACGATGATTCATTAATGATTGATAAAATTTATGATACGGCACTAATTATTGAACAATTGACTAAAGTGAAAGGACATTTTGCAAGAAGGACTGAAATTATTTGTCAAGTTGGAACAGGTAAATAATAAAGACTCGATAAACTTTAAATTGTCATCTAGCTGAAAGACGAAAAAGTTGATATGCCGTTTTCATATTCTTTATTATTCAACTACTTATGCGCATCTAAAGTAGTTTAACATTGTGTCATAATTTATCTATTTTTATGTAATAAATATTTTTTAGCGAGACAGAGCATTGTGAACATCGCTTGTCCACGAAATAATCATCACTCATAATATAACATTATTGGTATTTATTGTATTTATTGTCAAATCATCGTGGACTTGCGTACGTAAAATTATGAAGACTGTGTATCTCTACCATCGTCCGCATGTTATTTACAAACGCACCACATGCGTTCCTCTCTGAACTGTTAAAACCTTGTTTTTTTTTTTTAAATAAACTGTTTTTTGTTTGTTAGAATGGCAGCGGTGGAGATGGAGAACCTGGAGGTCGAGCGAATGGGTGAGCTTATCACTTGCAATTCAAATTACTCATAATCAACGAAATATTTTTCATTCTTTCATTCTATCATCAAATCATGTTTTGATATCTCAATTTTCATTGAATTTTAGGCGAGCGGGAGAGAATACTTTCTACAGCACTATCGATAGCCGTCCAGACATTCGACCACGACGGAAATCAATACCATTGGTTTCCGAGCTGGTATGTATTTAATTATCCATTATTATTAACGACTCATCTATTCTCTAATATATCCTCTACATCCTTCAATCATGCTAATACATTTAATCAAAGTCTCCGTTGCTATTACCTATTTTTATAATATGATCGTAAAGAATGTACTACTTGCGAAATTCAGAGGGGCAAAATGTCGTAAATTTTGCTATACACAGAAAAAAATATATATTTTACCATATAATACGATCCGATGCTAAAACGACATAAATCTCCAATCTCCAATATCCATCGGATAGTGTCTATAGTTCTAGCTATTGGGGGCTATAAAATAGCTTGCCATCATCGTCAAGTTGTGCTGTATGTCAGCCCAAGTGTCATCCTACACTAATGAACCGTAGAGCAATAATATTGCTGCACAATGTACACCGCGTTAATATTTCATGCAGTATTAAACTCAAAAGAAATGTTGAGAGAATCATTATACAGTTGCTGAGTTAATACAATTCAATTAAATATACTATTTCTTAATATTGAGCAAGAACAACGATATCTAACAATCTGTATTCTCCTAGCTTTCAACTTGCAAAATTCAAATTAAGCAGCGGAAATGTAACTGATTATTTATCGACTTTCTACTTGTTCTTGTTTTATTATTAATATGAAGAGAGATAAAAAAACCCCGGCATCTCCGCTCGGAATTGGGAGTGGTCCGTATTTAATGAACATTATTCTTTTTCCCATTTGATACTGTATTTCCTTCCATTAAAACCAAAGACAGTGCAAATTTTTTGAGTGCCTCGCCTCCAGTATATGTCCCCTCTGAATGTTCAATGTCAACCGTTTCAATTTAATCGTTGTGTTTTTAAAACATTTCAACCTTCCTCTCCATCCTGTAAGCCCTACGACGATCATATATTTCACATAATGTGAATTTTTCATGGAATCCCCATGTCCTGTGATATGCGATGAAACCAGCAAAAACTAAAAGTCCGAGAAAATTACTGGAAAGCAAAATATCGAAACCCATCCACCAATATCATTATAATTTAATGCCCGGATGGACTGTCTGGAAAAGATAATTTACTTCAAAATTGGGACTTCTAATTACTCCGTCAATTAATGGTTTTTTCCGATAATTGTTAGCTAGCGGCCTAGTTGTTGACAACCGCTAGAACGCTAGCTAACAATTATTGAAAAAAACGATTAATTGCCAAAGTAATTAGGAAACCGAATTTCGGAGTAAATTATCTCTTCTAGATAATCCATCCGAGCCTTAAATAACGTATTTGCAATAAAAAAATCTGCAAATAATTTAAAAAATAATTCACAGAATTCCAGTATTTTTCATGGTGTCTCTCTACTTGATTAACCTTTCTATACCTGGAAAATAACTATATATGTATAAGAATGTATATATATATGCATATATATATATATATATATGTATATGGTTGACACTAACCAGCATAATGCTATTTTTGTTTGTTCTCTGTGGCGCCCGTTGTTGTATCTACCTGAACACCTGAAAAAAAAACAATAACAAAATTTCACTGAACCTCTCAAAATCTCAATAATAATCTCCACATCCAGGTCTTGAAGGTACTAATTACATGCCTCCTTAGCCAAACATTATTTATGCTTGCTCGAACGTCGCATGCAATTTATAATATGTTTTTTACTGTCTCTTTATTACTAACTCTTTCTTCTCTCTCTAAACTATCTATCATATGTAACTATTGATATGTCATTATTTACAATTATTATTTCATTTGAATCTTGGTCATGGTCCTGCCATTATTATATTTGTAATAGGTTTTCATGTTGAGTATATATATTCAGAGTCATTAGATTTTAAACAATTGCATATGAGATACATATGTAAACAAATACGTATATGTATTATTTATTTATATATCAATATCTCGTGGGTTTTTTTTTTGTTTTTTTTTTTTTTCATTTTATTCTAGCGAAAATTTCAAGTTTCTTTCTCGCAAGAGATAATAATCTTGTTCTTAGTCTTTTCGACCTAACTTGGGTTTTCTTGTTTTACGCACAAGCACGCTTTCGCGCGAATCCTCGAGATCGAAAAAGAAAAGCAAAAAGGAGATTGTGTGGTAATTATAAAAAACAAGGATTACTTCGAGCGCTTGACTAGAGCTTTTGCTTAATTTTTTTATTCATATGAATAAAAAACGTAAAAATCATTGACTTGAGAAATTCAATAAAAAATAATAAACCGTGGGGTGAAAAATTGATAAAGGGAGAAAAAAAAAGTAAGAAAACATTAATTCGATAAATCGTGATGACCGCCAGAGCCCGAATGCTTGCAAGTACTATTTCATTTTATATATTAGCATTTGCTCACACTCAATTCGTTTATGGATTTGACTTATATACATCTGTTATGGATATGGATGAATAATCCTTTCGCTCATGAGTTTATACCCTCAACGAGATAATTAAGATGATTATCAGTCAAACTTTCCATCGTTGATGATAATATTCAAATAATTGCACGCCAATTGCATCCAGCCTGAGATTATCGTATATTATGCACGTTGAATGACCTATTAACCTGAAGATTCTTCAATATATTTATGTAAATCCATATTATTCAACTATAGGAATGGATGAATTTATCATTTACATGATACAGAGTATAGTGTATTAATGTGTTTCGATACAAGTCAAGAAACATATTTTTAAATAAATATCGAGCAATGTTCTCCATGGAAATGCTCAATGAAAAATTGTACTCACTACAATGACACTCCTCGTGAGTAATATTCCGTCTCTTACCGATCACCATTGCCAAAGGGTCCGTGTCTCCCAATCACTAATTAATTAATTACCGAATAAATTAAACCATTATCACAAGTAAAAAGGGTAATAACCATTATAATAACTATTAACCAAGATTGCGCCAATCCAATAAAAAAAAACGAGAAAAAATACGGGAAAAAAACGGGAAAAAAACGGGGAAAAAAAGGGAAAAAAAACTAGACATTCCATCACTTTAAATGCAAGGTAAATTGTCACGTTTGAAAGATTAAAATTTCTATTGATCAAGTGATGCGTCAAATATATTTTCTTGTATCATTTGACCGACCCTCAGGCATTGCATGCGGTATGAGTTGAGTTTGCGGTGAATTTGCTCATGATTACAATGGATGACAAAAATTTAGATATGTAGGTGTTAGATAGCTTTTGAATTGCATCGCGGTGAGAGGATGCATACATACAATCGCCGTATAAATCTTCTATGAGATTCAATCCGCCTTCCTCTGCCAATCATTTTCAAATCCAATATTTTTAAAAATTATAAACTTTCCTCTGACTCTGATGTGTGAGTTTCAATCGGGAGAGAAGGGCAGATGTAAAATGGCACTGTAACGGGAAAAAATATATACTTCTAGATGTATAACGTCATCATAGCTGTAGTTTTCTGTGGTTTAGACAGGACCAACGGATATCAAGTAGATCATAAGTGTTTTGTTATTTTCATTAGTTTAAACAACATTCTATTAGCATACGTATGCTACGCCAAAAAATATACGTGAAAAAAAAATGAATTACTGAAATTATCGCGATTGCAGTAATTTTTATAGATTTTCATATTCATTTGAAGTTATTATTCTGTTATATATTGATTAATTTAATGATAATATACTGAAACAAGAGTTGAAGTCATTTCATTCATACACATGCATTTTTTTTTATTTATAGTGATTAGGGATTTTTATTTAATTCACAAATAAATATCGAAAAGGAAATTCATTTTGTATATATTGATACATTAAATTTTTTTTTGTGAATATGCGGTAGTTGATGTTTACAGACAAATTAATTTTTCTGTACATAATGAGTCTTTTTTAAATCCATGTTCGCACACAAAAGGAACTATTACCGTTTTTATTAAAAACGGTAAAAGAATCGTTCCTCGAGTTTTTAATATCTCTAAATTTTTCAGTAGATCACAAATTATTTATCGGTGCATTAAAAAATATATTCTCCTTTTTCATTTTCTTCTCCAGGTAATGCGAACAAATTCATTCACCAATAATCACGCTAATTCTATCAGATATTTCACTGATGTTACTCTTCTCACTTACTGAATTTCACAAATATTATATATCTTCACCAGCTAAAACCACATTTCATTGCCTAGAAATATATGAGTAAGACTAAAAAACTGAAGAAAATACGTAAAAAGAGGAAAAAAAACTGTAAAAGTGATAGTGAAAATTGACAATTAATATTTATTATAATTTCCCAGACAATGGCAGCAAAACGAAATGCAGCTGGATTGACCTCTGCCGTACCGAGAGCAACATTAAATGACGAGGAATTGGTAAGTAATTAATTCATTTAAGGCTGGTGGATTATCTAGAAAAGATAATTTACTCCGAAATTCGGATTTCTAATTACTTTGGCAATTAATCGTTTTTTTCAATAATTGTTAGCTAGCGTTCTAGCGGTTGTCAAAAACTAGGCCGCTAGCTAACAATTATCGGAAAAAACGATTAATTGACGGAGCAATTAGAAGTCCCAATTTTGGAGTAAATTATCTTTTCCAGACAGTCCATCCGGGCCTTAAATAAAATATTCCATCATCGCCTCGAGTCAATTCAAAATATTGAAACGAATTATTACAGACGATGAAATAAAATCCTAAACAAGAGATATTAAATCCGTTTACTCGGTCGATTTGTCATATAATCTAATGCTATTTACATGATCGGTGTGCTATGTACAGAAAATGCACGTCTACAAGAAGACTCTGCAGGCTATGATCTACCCGATCTCCTCGACGACACCCCACAACTTTGTAACGTGGACAGCAACATCACCGACTTATTGTTACGAATGCGAGGGTCTTCTTTGGGGTATTGCAAGACAAGGTGTCAAGTGTATGGAATGCTCCGTCAAATGTCATGAAAAATGCAAAGACCTTCTCAATGCTGACTGCTTACAAAGTAAGATCATTTCCATTCCCTCATTACACACACGTATATATCCAACAATCCGATACATATACCACATAATTATAACGTAGGAGCTGCTGAAAAAAGTTCCAAGCATGGAGCTGAGGATAAAGCAAATAGTATAATAACAGCCATGAAAGAGAGAATGAAACAACGAGAACGGGAAAAACCGGAAATTTTCGAATTAATACGGTAAGTACTGCTGTTTGTGCCCCTGAATTACATTATTTATTACTCTGATTTGTAATTCAGCGAGACGCGTTAATATGTTAATATATTTGATGAAATAGGTCAGTTCGCTTCGTTTAGTGTAACAACATATCAGTGCACCAATTATGCAGTGAAAGCAATCATTTAATTTGTTTTAATGAAATTTCTTGCAGCGATATTCAGAAATATTTCTAATTTCTCATAGAAATTCTATGTTTCGTTGAAATTCTCATTTCTTACCGATTTTCTGCGGTGTTCATTGGTTGCTCAGTTCAGTCCAATTAATTGAAATTCATCAAGTTGTTTCTTTCAAATTTTCGTTCAAAGACAGTTTCAAATTTAATGAAATAGTTATTCACTGTGATGTTGACATACGCAAGGTACTCGACAAATTTTTGTTGATGAGTTTAGAATGTGCTATTTGAACATGAATATCGTGGGAGTTTAGGTCAGTTTTTGGTGTTGACGAGAAGGCCCACATCAATCACATGGATTCGGTCAAGCAGACCGTATCGGACGGCACAAGCAAATGGTCTGCAAAGATTGTGATCACAGGTTTGTGAAATCGCTGTTTCCATTCTTGTAATATCGCCCCAGCGTCGTGCACATCTACATAATAAAGTATTCCGTCCATAAGTATTACCTCGGTGTCTATTCATAAGGCTAGGATTGGTGTGAGCTAGCAAGAGAACTAAAAAAAAGCTTCGCTCGATTGAAACTATCATTTTTTTCATTTAAATTGGCTGGAATTGTCAAAATAATTGTGGTCTATGTGTTTAGTGATGCTGTATTTGTTTGATATTTTATTTCAACGTTATTATTGTCGATATCTACGCAAATGAAGGATTTCGTCGGATATTGTCCCAGACAATGGATAAAAATTCACAATGGAATGTTTCATTCAGCGATGGCTTCACTATGCATAATAATTTTACGTTCATGCGTATTTATGTTGAAAAATATTGAAATATGTCTATTCACGTATTTATTCTCCCTCTGGTCATGTCTCCACTGCCAAGCTGCTATCAATGTTGTAAATGCCCTTTTCCATTAGTATCATCATTGCGATGATGATTATTATCATTGTATTGAATATTATTATTACTACTCTGTTGCTGTTATTGTTATTTTTGTTACTAATATTACTATTACTATCATCATCCGGCGGTGTAAAGCAATGAAAACTCTAAGGACTTGTGAAATTATGTATTCCATTTTCAAAGTTGCATAATTTTATCAAGAATTTTTATTGTACTCCCAGGGCTCATAGCAATCTCACACTCGAGATGAGGATGGCTTTTGAACTTGTTGGTAGATGCCAGCGTAATTCAAGGTTTCTTCAAGACTCCTTATTACTCGCCAAATAATTAATTCATTTAATGAACAAAGACTTAAATTCCAGCCTCGTCTTGTCAGCAATGAATTTATCGAATGGAGAATTCTCATAGTATATTCATTCGTAGCCTGACCCAGGGTTATTTGTCAATAATCAGTCAAGGAAATGGTTTCAGGTTCTGGTTTCACCGGGGCTAAAATTTGTCGATGAATATCAATGACCTAGAGGTAATTCATTAGCAAACATTGAACTGCTGAGGCAGTTGGCATTGCGCCACCCCGATGATACCGTGACTGGTGAGCTGAAGGCCAGAAACGTGAGACGTGCAACAAGTTTCATTGTTTTAGGTCGTTGTAGCTTCGGTGGTATAACCTCGTCACTTCGACCATGCCAACAAAATACTCTCAATGTTGATTCTACTACGGTAGTGGGTCATCACGTTCACTCCATCGCCAGTATTTGTCCTTACATACAGGCGATTCTCGGTCTCGGTCTCGGTCTCGATCAATCTTCTTCAATTCCCCTTCTCTCTGATCCCATTGAGGATTTCCCCTGGCTACACCTAAACTGGTAAATCCAAGCAGTAAATTCCAATGGGTGAGAAAACCATCGGCCAATTAAATATCCTGATAGTACTCTTAGTATTTAGTAAATTATCAACCGATGAGACTCCTTTTCGGGACAATATCGTGGAATGTATCTTGGTTGAATGATAAATTGCTGACTATAAGGATAAATTGATGAAGGATAATTCAATACGGATTCGTGTGGATTATCAGGGAATTGTCTTATTTTCAGCACGACATTTTCAGTCGACCCGGATACTCACATTGACAGCCTAGAGCAGGCAGAGGTGATGGTCTTGGAGGGCACCAGCAAGTGGTCATGCAAAATCGCCATCACAGGTAGCAACAAGAAAATGACCAAGAAGCATATATTTATACATAAATATCCATATATTCATACATACAACGATGTCATACTCATAATTGTCACTTGTTGAATACTAGGAAAATGACTTGTTTCTTTTTCTCTACAATCTACCACAGCTGCATCAAGATCAAAGGGCTTTCTCTCCTTGCTTGGTCGAGCCAAGTATTGTGTGCAATATTACTGTGTGCACCGATTTCTCAGGGAGAGAAAGCTACCCACACCAGTGCACAAACACAAACAAAAAAACACGAACAATGAGCATCATAATCCATCACAGCATTGCATATGCAACTTCGGAGAAAAGCAGTTTATTCGATTCAACTGTCAATTTCCTGGTTTTTCTGCTTTATCGCCTTTATCTATCCTTTTTTCTTTGCCTCCTCAACTATCACGACTCCATAAATACCTGGGAATATTGCAATTGACATTAGTCTATCAATTTGAAAAAAAAAGTCTTTTGATACTTTTATACTGCACTTCAGTCTGTATTTATATATTATGAATAGTCCATATACAGTAAATATGAACGTTCATATACAGTAAATATGAACGTTTTGCGTGAGTGGAAATTTAATGTTCAAGTGGCAAGACTAAGTAATTAAATTCAGAGAGGAAAAGAGAAAGAAGTATACGCGGTATAAGTGGGGTGTGTAATGTCAGATTATTTGATAATTTTCAGTCCCGGGCGCAATGTGCTAGAAATTCTTAGAAATCGATAGTTCAACGTACAGGCAAGAGTGGCCATATCCCTGACCCAGTTACACTCACCCATTAGCTAAACTTGTCAATATTCATTCTCTCATTACACATATACTAGTTTTTACAGTACACAATAAACAACTTTTGTCATTGCTCTTCGCCGCCTATTTGATAAATTTTCCAGCTCTGAGAATCAATTCTAATTATAGACAACACTCACCCTCACTTTCTCACTAATTACCAATAGTAATTACAATAGGATAATGATCACCTGTTCACCACTCGATTGATAATTAAGGAACGAATTGATAACGCGAAAAAATCCCCGTAATTATATTAATATTTGAAAAATTCATGATTTAGAGTGTAAAGTAATATCGCACGATATCCTGTGTCGCATGGTCCATCAATTATTTATTGTAATGCCTTCTATTTTAATGTTTATATATGCAATTATTCACAGCGCTTTGATGCACGCCTTGTCGATGTATAGTAGGTATACAAGAAGAGTAAGAAGAGTAAGAAAGACAAGTTAATGTATGTCGTGATAAAAAATTAAGTAGATCATTTGATTGTGATTAACGTGTCGTTATTAGTTTATCAAGTCTGGGGTATGAGTTATTGAAAAACTATAAAAATCCATTGATTCATCATTGATCTCTGACAGATGACGAAGAAAGTGAAAGTATAATTAATTGTTAATATCTGTTGTATGAAAATTATTACAGTAATTAGTGCACAAGGGCTGATCGCCAAGGATAAAAGCGGTACTTCAGATCCATACGTCACGGTGCAGGTTGGCAAAGTGAAAAAACGTACAAAAACCATGCCTCAGGATCTCAATCCAGTCTGGCATGAAAAGTTTCATTTGTAAGTTATGAGTGGTAAAAAATAAATAAGTAAATTGAAAAGAGTGTACAACAATTTTGTTTGAAAATGTTTTTTTTTTCTTAGTGAGTGCCACAATTCTTCAGATCGTATTAAAGTTCGAGTGTGGGATGAGGATAATGATCTTAAATCGAAACTTCGACAAAAACTAACACGTGAGAGCGATGATTTTCTGGGTCAAACAATCATTGAAGTGCGAACACTGAGTGGTGAGATGGACGTGTGGTACAACCTGGAGAAACGAACGGATAAGAGTGCTGTATCGGGAGCTATTCGATTACACATAAGTGTAGAAATAAAGGGGGAGGAGAAGGTGGCCCCCTATCACGTCCAGTACACTTGTCTACACGAAAATCTATTTCACAGTTTATGTGAGAGAAATAGCGGATTGGTAGCATTACCAGAGGCTAAAGGTGATGATGCTTGGAAAGTTTATTTCGAACCACCTGGAGAGGAGCTTGTCGATGAATTTGCAATGCGATATGGAATTGAAAGTATTTATCAAGCAATGACGCACTTTCACTGTTTGTCAACGAAATACCTCTGCCCAGGTGTACCGGCTGTCATGTCAACTCTCTTGGCGAATATAAATGCTTATTACGCTCACACAACAGCAAGCTCAGCGGTTTCCGCTAGCGACAGATTCGCTGCCAGTAATTTTGGAAAGGAAAAATTTGTTAAACTACTCGACCAACTTCACAATTCATTGAGAATAGATCTGTCAATGTATCGCAATAATTTTCCAGCCTCGAGTCCAGAGAAACTCATGGATTTGAAAAGTACAGTAGATCTTTTGACAAGTATAACATTTTTCCGAATGAAAGTACAAGAATTATCCAGCCCACCGAGAGCAAGTAAAGTCGTTAAGGACTGTGTTACCGCTTGTCTGCGATCGACTTATCAATTTTTATTTTCAAACTGCGCTGATTTGTATAATCGAGAGTACCAAACCTCCAGAGGAAGTGAGCCACGTCCACAAGATAACGAGCCAACTCTTGATTCACTGAAATTTTGGGATATGTTGATAACATTAATAATAGCAGTGATTGAAGAAGATAGAAAGAGTTATGGGCCAGTGTTGAATCAATTTCCCCAGGAATTGAATATTGGTCAATTATCAGCAGCTGAAATGTGGTCTCAATTTGCTTATGATTTAAAGTATGCGCTGGACGAGCACGAGTCAGAGAGATTGTGCAATTGCGCTGATTATATGAATCTCCATTTCAAAGTTAAAGGTCTTTATGATGAATTCGTTCAAGACCTACCATCGTTCAAGGACGCTGTTCCAGAGTATCCAGCTTGGTTCGAACCATTCGTAATGCAATGGTTAAATGCCAATGATGATAATTCACTCGACTATCTTCATGGTGCCTTTAATAGAGATAAGAAGGACGGTTTCCAGAAGAGTAGTGAGCATGCACTATTCAGTAATTCGGTTGTTGATATATTCACTCAATTGACTGAATGTTTCAAAGTTGTATCAGAATTGAAGTGTCCTGATCCTGAAATACGTAAACGCTACATGAAACGCTTCGCTAAAACTATTGTTAAGGTATTAATAACCTACGCTGATATTGTTAAAACCGAATTCCCTTCCTATCTCCAAGAGGAAAGAATAGCTTGTATATTGATGAACAATGTTCAGCAATTGAGAGTACAATTGGAAAAATTATTCGAGAAAATGGGTGGAACTGGATTGGAGGAGGATGCTGCTACAATTTTGAAGGAACTCCAGCAGCAGCTCAACGGCTCGTTGGATGAACTTGCTGTTATTTTTGCCAAGAGTCTAGAACACAAAATAACAGCATCTGTCAAAGAAGTTGGCGACAGACTTGTCAATATCAAGACTAGTAATCAGCAGAATCAGCGGAGTACTGTAGAAGTTGAAGCTGATGATGTTTTGAGGCCTTTAATGGATCTTTTGGATGGAAGTTTGTCACTTTACGCTGATTCATCCGAAAAAACAGTCTTCAAGAGACTTTTGAAGGAACTTTGGAAAATAGTTATTCGCATTATGGAGAAAACTGTTGTCTTGCCACCAATGACAGATAAAACCATGGTTTTGAAGAACTTGACGGACAATGCCAAGAACATTGCGGCCAATGCTAAAATCGAGGACATGTCTAGATTAATAAAAAATCATATGGCTGGTAAACCAGATGTGAAAAATGCTCTCAGCGGTGTTATGGTAAAAATAATTTTCATATTCATTACTGAACTCGAGACATCCTCATCGTTTTTCATCGTTTTTGCTTTTATTCTTCACAGGATATTTCAAAGGAAGTCGAAAAGAATTTATCACCAAGGCAATGCGCCGTTTTAGAGAAAGCCTTGAACACGGTCAAAGATTATTTCTATGCAGAAGGGAGAGGTTTGAAGAAGCAGTTCTTGGAGAAATCAGCAGAGCTTCAAAGCTTGAGATACGCTCTGAGTCTCTATACTCAAACAACGGACACCCTCATCAAGACATTCGTTACAACCCAACTAAACCAAAGTGAGTAAAAAATTACGTGAAATATCAATAAATTGTTCCCCTCCCAGACATAGTCATAATATATTTATAAAAAGAAAAGAAAAACGAGACCAACATGTAGAATACCACAGAAATAATCAGAGAATTATCTTGAGTTAAATGAAAAGAACGAAAAACAATGGAAATTTAATTGAAAACAAAAAAAAAACAGTGCCGCTGAATGATGCTACAACATTACGACAACGTCAGCGCTCGATGAGCAGCGAAAGGGGCGAAGAAGGCGAAGATGGAGATGGTATGGAAGGCCTCGAAGAGCCTCTTCGCCAGAGCAAACCCCCACTTCGGAGGGAAAGTCGTCAAGGTAGCAGAGTTTTAACTCTGAGACCAATAGAGAGAATGAAATAATTAAGTTCATTAAGAACAATTCATCAATCAATATAGTAGCATAGAGTGTAATTGAGCATTTTAGAGTTGTATGAAAGATTTGATACAATCGAGACGTCAAAAATAATCTCAATATCTCAACTCACTAGATTTCTAGACAATCCTTTGATCTTTACGAATATAGAAATGTTTCGATTGATTATCAAATTTTGATGCCCGCTGATAACCTACTGCTACTGTAATTACGAAAAATGAGATAAAAATAATAGGCAATCATTCATCTCCACACAATCAATCAGCTTGTGTCACAAAAAATGCATTATGTAATAAGAATATGCGAATAAGAAATTGCTCATTCTCTATTTCGCTTGCTCATAGGCAAATGAGAGAATTGAGAGAATCTTTAGAATGAGTAAATGCCCGCAATATCATCAAAGCAACGTATAACGATCCTAGGGGCATGTTAATTGCTCCACCATTGGTTGGAGTAAAATATATCATTTGATTAATTCAAGTCACCTGTAGATGAATGCACTTACATGACATTTGCAGTGGTAGCATTTATTAATAAATATTAAAATTGCAGATACGATGAATGCGGATGGCGGGTCTGTAGGCGAATTGAGCATTCAAGTTGATTTATTCACCCATCCTGGCACAGGCGAACAAAAAGTGACAGTCAAAGGTAAAATTGTTGATTTGATTGAAGTGAATGACGTATAGGTTTCATTTAAATAAAAATATTTTCATGCTAAATCGATTGTTTGACAGTTGTAGCAGCGAATGATCTCAAATGGCCTCTAGCAACTGGAATGTTCCGACCTTTTGTTGAAGTGAATTTAATTGGACCTCACCTAGCAGAAAAGAAACGCAAACATGCGACTAAATCTAAAAGCAATAATTGGTCACCGAAGTTTAATGAGACATTCCATTTTATTATTGGAAATGAACAGCAACAGCTGGATTACTTTGAGCTTCATATCTGTGTAAAAGACTATTGTTTTGCACGAGAAGATCGATTAGTTGGAGTTGCTGTACTACAATTAAAAGATATAATTGAAGAAGGTTCCTGCGCATGTTGGCTGTCACTGGGGAAACGAATTCAAATGGATGAGACTGGCTGGACGATACTGCGAATTCTTTCACAGAGAAATAACGATGAGGTTGCTAAAGAGTTTGTGAAATTAAAAAGTGATATACGCCAAGAGGATCCATTACCCAATCCAACTTAAAATAATGGATTATTCGCTACAACGGTAGAGCAGTGACGGGAACATTTCATATTTTTTCAACAAGCGTACATTCACCCCAAACGTGGGCTAAAATAAAATATTAAATAAAGAGCTGAAGAATGTCGCGGGAACATCAATTATCTTATTAATGAATTATTGTGGCTTGTCGTCAAGTGACAATTTATTCGACTTGAAAATTAATAGATCATAAAAATGAATGTAAAAAGTATAATGAATATTATCACGTCCGTCACCGTTAATATATTAAACAATAAAGACGTGGATCACCGTCATTGAGTAATCAATGAGAAATGACGAACGTGATGGGATATATGAATGTGCCGAAAACATTTTCTAAAACACATACAGACCATTCAAGACGTTAAATTCGAGAGAAAGGACTCGAATTATTTTTCAAATTAAAAATAAGTGTTTATTAAAAATCGAACCACAGCAATGTCCTTAGACAGATATGGGCGGTTAAATCAGACGAGATAAATCGTTGATCGATCAGAATGTACTAATGAACTGTAGATATTCAATTTTCGTCAACGCGAAGACGATTAAAATGAAGAAAAAATGCATTTTTCTAATAAAAGTTTGAAATAAAATTTTTGCGTACGACCAATAGGCAAGTCATGACGATATTCATGGCATGCCATTTAATTATTAAATATAAGTTAATCAATGGGGAAAAAGAAAATATCTTAGACATTATATCTTGTAAAAAATATGTATTTACTTACGAAAATTAACCAGAGATTGCAAGAGTCTGACTGCTATACACACCATACATAGAGTTGAACGACAATGGAGAGCTAAAAGAACTGCAATTTTTCATCGCGGATTCACTTCTTTCATAAATTGTTGTCATTCACTGAGAAATTGATAGCCCAAAAACAGCGACAGTATAAACAGAAGAATATAGTCCTAAATGAATAGACTCATCGCTCATGATCGAATTACAGATAGATTTGAGAAAATTCACCACCAAAAAAAGAAATAAAGACCTATGTCCATTTCAAGAACACATGCCCCCCTGGAAGAAACAGCAACACTTTGTCAAATCTATCGGACATCGTATTATAATATCGTATTCTCTTCAGAATTATTGAATAAATAAATAACAAAATTAACGTAGTAACGTCTAGATAATGGGGAAAAACAGGTTGTAACGCAAACGCTTTTCATGGAAAAAAGTCAAAATAAATGAATTTGAATTTTCATCGCAGGCGGAGGATAGGATTTTTAATAATGTAGGAAGCAATCATGGAACCAAGGAATAAAAGGATTTGAATATAAGCCGATTTTTAAGTTTAGGGGAGTGTTTTCCACATGATGTGCACTAGCACAAAATGACTTCCTGTTCTTTTTCAAAAGAAATCAGAAAATAAAATGACGGTATCGACACATCCTTATGTGTAAAGAAGACTTATGCATCATCACATCCATTGTTTTATCGTTTGCTTTCTCCAAAATCATTGTGGACGTCTGGTTAAATTCATCTTTACGTTACATTATCAATTTTCTATCCATTCCTCAAACTTTATCTCGAAATCTATAGAATTCCAATAAATTTTCTCTCTATTAACTCGTTCAACGTGATATTTTACTAATGTTATCATTATTTTATTAGTCATTGTTGATGCCAATATTTCAATGATTTACAGTTTCTAGACGCATTGAAGTATTAGCATTAAAAATAGCGAACAATAGTGAACTCCCTAGTTACGGAGAAAATTTTGGAAAACTCTGTCGAGTTTCAGACAAAATTTTCTAATCAGTAATTACATAAAACTATAGATACATATGTATATCCATACATGTACATATTTATCTCGCATATTCTGTGATAATTTACCCTCAACTATCAACACCGAAGACGTACCCATTAATAATTTTCCCCATATTATGTCCTTGTGCCACAAAAGAGGAAAAGGAAGTGAAGAAGGAAATTAATATTGTCTGTGAAAATTTATCTTATCAAATATTTCTTTAAACCGTTCAATAACTTAGATAGAAAGATTTCCAAATTATTTAGTTTCTGCTTGATGAGAGAAGTGAGACCGGCCTTCTTTTATTTTTCAAAATTCAATTAGATATTCTAATGTCAGCCTTCAGATGATCGTGTGATTTTCTTCAATTTAAACCGTACATAGACTTGGGGCTTCATGAATCTCCATCCTTATGTCTACTGATTGAATTTTTCCACAATTATAGCATTCCAAATAATAACTTAATTACCAAAATTAACATACAACTTTAGAATAATAACGATTTTATGACTACTGGATTGAAACTAAAATCGCGACGTATACATGGATTCAAGTGGGAAATTAAAAGCAAAATCTGTAGGAAGAAATTTGAATTATCAGCACCATACCACTTAGTATTTCCATTTGGCATATCTGTACCGACACTGATCCCAAACAAGTAATCATCAAAGTCAAACAATTTTTTGAGATGTCAAATGGCCATGCTGATAGTACAGTGGTGTAAAACTAGGACAAATAGAGAAGATGAGGATTCGAAAGGTCATTGAACCCCTGAGACGCGTAGTAAAAAGAGGATCAAAAGATGAAAACATTTGTTGACAATACTATGCTTGAATTGGGAAAAACAAAATAAAAAAGAAAACAGGTGAACCATTATAAAAGACCTGTAGCGCATGATGGAATTTTATTATCGTATGCAAAGAGAATGTTCATATTGTTTTGGGACAAACATTAAATTAATAATAAACACTTTAATATCGCAATAATTTAAAACATGTAAATTGCATTGAAAACTCAGATTTATTAGCATGTAAATTCGGCGGTTGCGTGAGTTTATTGAATTATGTGAAAAAAAAAAATATTAAAAAATGAGTACATTCATAGTATATTTCATCATTAATCTCCAACAAAGAGTGTTGTTATATCGTTGTTGTTGAATGTTAATAATTCAAAATTATCAGTAAAAAAAATATTTGAAAATATTCGAGTTAAAACACGCACATGTTACACAGAAAACATTTCGACGACTGATTAAGTAAATTTGATCATGTCTAACGTGGAATTGTATGAGAAAAAGTATTCATTGTTATTCTTCATTAAATTTCATTTATCGTTATCGTTATTCACCGCAAGCTTCGATGTCTACGCAATCAATTTTTTCCAGTCGATCTCAGCTAATCAACATTCAAATAGTAGGTAAAAATGAGAAATATAGAGTCCAAGAGATAAATAAGGATGAGCGCGTCTTGTGCTCTTATTTATTTTATTTTTTACCAGTAGCTGAGAGTAAAGATTGGAATATATTGTGGAAATGGAAACATGAGATAGAGTATGTAATAAAAAAATTATTCATGGATTCAAGGTAACTATTTCGTCGATGAACAGTTTGAAATTTTGTTTCTCCCTTTTAATGAGTTCCAATTTCAAATGAATATTAGTGTAGACAATATTGGACAGTTTGATTATAATTATATTTGATTTATGGACAATCGACCATGCAATCGACATCACAATATTTATTTCGTACTGAAACAAAGAGCTGATTAAGAAATGCAAGGCAAATGGATGAATAAAGCAATAATTCATTATAAAAATATAGAAAATTGTAAAATATAACTAATTAAAATTAAGGAAAAAGAATTTAAGGGAGGAGAAAAAAATTACAGCAAGCTAAAAGTGGATCATTGAGCTATACCCCATATCACATATATGCATGAAAATGGGTGTTTGTGTGTGAGAGAGAGAATGGATCAAGCATTATTTCATAAAGGAATATAATTTTTTAGTCAACATTATTTCTATATTTACATGAAATTATTCACTTCATGAATAATTTTATGCGGATGGAATAATATATATTAAGGGCCGGGTGGACTATCTATCGAGCGTCATCTTTTATTTAAATTTTATCTTTTTAACCTAAAATACATAAAAATTTGGGATAAGTTTTGAGGTCACGAAAATCACTGGAGTTGGCATAAAAAAATAATGAAAAAAAAGAGGAAAAAATTTTGAAGGGCGCTAAAGAGCGATATTTATGAAAAGGGATTTTCCAGGTTTACAAAAAAATAATGAAAAATATGTAGCATGTATGTCAAGTATTCACCACACAAACCAAACCCTCCACTGAATTGAATGCAGCTACAGGCAATCAAATGCTGCAGATTTTTCATTATTTTTTTGTAAACCTGGCAAATCCCTTTTCATAAATATTGCTCTTTAGCGCCCCTCAAAATTTTTTCCTCTTTTTTTTCATTATTTTTTCATGCCAAGTCCAGTGATTTTCGTGACCTCAAAACTTATCCCAAATTTTTATGTATTTTAGGCTAGAAAGATAAAATTTAAACAAAAGATGACGTTCTATAGGTAGTCCACCCGGGCCTTAAGGGATAATTTAAATTTCTGTTAAAGTATTTCCTTCTTCTGAAAAAGCTATCGACCGGATATTTTATTTATGAATTTGTTATTGATGACAAGAATTGAATTTTTTATATAAATTGTGGAGATGGTATTATTGGGATTTAAACATTAAATGAAGCATCATGAATAATGTAAGAGTAAAAAAGTAAAGTGAAACATCATTGTCATACTCCCATAATTTAAAATGTTTTCAATTCTTCACTCTCGTGTAAGCATTCTTTATCTTTATATTAAATCAAGGAAAATAAAGTAAAAAAGGAAATGAATAATATTGGACTGGGATGATATTGCGAATACATGTAATACAATATTATCTCAATAAAGTCCCTAATCATCACACAAATGAAAAGGAAATCGGAGAGTTGCACATACAATTGCACAGATTATTACATTACTACTTGCAAGGAATACGCCCACAGCAACTCGTTATTGTCCATATTCTAGATAGAAGATAAGCAAAAAAATTTGTAAAAGAAAAAAGGAAAAAAATGTGCTTTCAAAAGTGGGAAATTATTTTTCAATTCACTCTTATTCCCCGGTTCTCCCTCGGTCCTCAGTCGTTCATCAATTCAACTCGAAGGTAAGTATCATTTTTCCATAACTTTTATTTTCTACTATGAATCAAATGAAGACATTTACATAGAGCCGAACAGTTGGTTACATTGATTCTCTTCAGCCACTGAGGTAATTGAGAAACAATTGGAAATACCAATCAATAATTGCTTTTCCTCCAGTATTATTCTCTAAGAGTCAGATTTTCCCTTCACAAGTTCCTAAAAGAAAAAACATACATATTTCAATTTCTAATATCATTTGGACTCATTCGGTTTAACCTAAATGATCCAAGTAACTCAATTATTTCGAAACACCTTTCCTTTGATAATAGTAATGATATTTAAAATCGCCTACCCTCGGTTTCCTCGATGGACCAAGTCTAGGTCTCGGCCCAAAAAAATCTCTTTCTCCATTCATGAAATCAGTTTTGTGCATCCACACGATATAAGCAGTGTAAGCTGCCAGGAAAACAAATGTATGATCAATCATTGTTAATTCTTTACGCTATATTATTTCCTTCCTTTCGTATAATTTCAACGGTTATATTATCTAATGTGTCAAACTGTCCCCCGACTGTACAGCTGCGACTTGCGGAACTAAATCGCCATTTTTCTTTTCTTATTTACATCCCTCTAAATCGTCGGGCTTGTTTTCAATTGGCGAACTGAACCGCGAAATTCAAAAATTATTTATGCCTTTCGACAACTGTCAACTCGATTACGCCGATAAATTAATAAAAATGGAAAAGTTGGTGTTTTATTAAATTTACGAGAGTTGTTTTATATTATACATATATTTTCCTATATCTTCAAACTCATGACATAAAAGCCGCGAAAACAAACAATTATGTAAAATCGGATGGTGAAAGTAGGAAACTTAAAGCATATCGATCATAAAAATACACAATGTTTACATGATGAACAGGAATTTTTAATTGATAGTAAGGAAAAAAACGTTAGAAATTTACGAAATCAATTGATTAAAGAAATGATATATATGGTAATTAGGGTATGGTCGACTCAATATATTCCGATTCCAGCCGCAATGAAGGCAGTCAACTTGTTAATTTTTTTTTTCTTTTTCTATTTTCCAAATGTACCAATATTTCCAATAATATGATTGTGAGCTGATAGTGAACACAATCGAAACATATTTTAAAAAATGATCATCCTGTTAAAATTACCGCTGTATTAGCTCATATTCCAGTATCATAGCTCTATCTAAGGTACATGACAAAACATAATAATGCTTATTTTTTGCTTTTTATAATTTAATTAATCCTACATTTTAATCCTAAATGATTTAAAGATTCTAAATTGTTTTAAACGCACACTTATGCCCAGCTGCATACGACTGTTCATCATATTATCCTTATTGCAATTTTTCTCCCTTCAATAATATATAATTTAATACACTATGTTCGCATATAAAAAACAATGACTTATTAATTAAGTGTTTTTATTTTTTTTTTCATTCGTTTCTCTGTATTGTTAGCTATCTCATAATGAATTATATCATATAAACATAAAGTTTGATTTGATGACTACGACAATGAAGTTTCTAGAATCTTGTTCCCCCAAAGATAGTTTTTATCATTTTAATTATTAAGGACCGAAAAACAATAATTGTTGAATGGTTGTGATTAACTCGAATTAAACAAAATACAGGTGGGCAGTTTCTTCTCTATAAGTATGGGCATCAGATAACGTCTGAATCTGCAAATACCAAATTGACCCTTGGTTTTATTTCCTTTATCCTTGAACGTTTTTCTTCCTCCAGAATTTTTTTGCATTACGAGGGAGCATCGAGTATCATTTTTGGTGGCAGGCCTGAGCGTTTACCATTTTTATTTTGTTTTTTTTTTTTCAATAATTATATTTGTTCTTACGTATCGTAATTTTTCCATTGGAAAATTCAATTGATGCATAATCTCCTGTATTTGGGGCGTGAGATCTTTCCGAGCATATCACTGACAAAAATTTGAATCATCTTACAATTATTATTTTCATTATAATTATTAATATTATAATTTTTCATCATGTATGTATTGGGCTCGTTAATATTGTAATGATTTATTTTTTTGTCCAGTTGGAGGCACGCGCGCTACATCACCAAGTTGCTGGGATAACAATGAATTGTCTGCTCCACGATCCATTTCCACCTATTAGAAGATTCTCCTTATTCAAAAATGTAGAGAACAAACTATTATTATAAAATTGCATTAATTAATGGAATAGAGGAATCGTGGAAAATAGTTACCATACACGAGCAGGTAGCAGGGGTGGTCGTGGTGGCAGAGGCAGGCACCGTCAATACTGAATAATATTGTCGACTACCGCAAAACCACAAGCACCCAACCCGGCACTTGACATCAACCGTACCAATTCTTTTGCATGCGATATTGCAACCTCTAGTGGTGGTCGTCGTGGGAGATTCGTTGACTCTGAAAATAAATACAGGTAAGAGAGATACTCAATAATAATCTGTCAAAACATTGAGCTATCAATGCTATAGAATAGAAAAAGAATTTACCTAGAATAGCTGAATTGAGTCTAGCACAAACAGTTTCCCTTTCTTGTGGATCTAGTTGCCACCCGACTGGCGAGTTCCATGGATTGGAATAAGCCAATAAGCTGAATGCATCTTGGAGCATTTTTTTATTCGATTCGTTTTTTCCATACTGCTGCCTAAGATGTATTGATTGTGAATATAATTGCCGTCCAAATTCAAGCATTTTTTCAATTGCCTGCTTGTTACCCCCGCACAATTGTTTCTTTATACATTTCGCCACAGAAACTGGTGGATTACTGGAATTGCCATTTTGCTGAATTTGATTGGCACTATCTACTTCTGTAATTATTTCAATTATCATTATTATTCAATAGACAGATTCAATGGTAATAGCAGTGGTAGTAATGAAAGGTAGTAGTAGTAATATAAATATAAGTCGGCTTACCCATGTCAATGTCTTCACCATTTTGGCATCGGTAGCCATTGGCATTGGCATTGGGATTACCATTCTGATATCCATTTGTTGAATTTTTAATGCTATTTGCGTTAGTCGTTGTATTCTCCTCCATATCTACATCCTCCTCCATTTGACCATTAATAAATTGTGGTTCACCAGCACCATTAATTGTATTATTTAAATTCATCTCGTCGATATTTCGGTTTGTTGACGATTTGATGTACGTTTTGGTTGATTGTATAACACTTGTCTGATTTTCACTATTACTCTGGTAAACTTCAGAATCACTTCCATTGACCATTTCGACAAACTGACGACATTTCAGGGCAAACATTAAATTTGGATCACGTTCGAGGAGTCCTGGATATAATCGGCTAGTTAAATCTATTGCTTCTCCCATTCTACCAGCCAGAACGAGCTTCAAAATTCCTGAAAGATAATTCAAAATTTACTATATCATATTAAAATACGCAACGAGCTCACTTACTTTGTCGATTCTTAATGGAGTTGAAATCTTCCTCAAATTCTTGTCCCGTACTGTTGGCAAATGCTTCGGCAGTATCGCAATAGCCATTATGAACAAGATATGTAGACACCATTCTGTCCAATTTATCAACTTTTATTATTTCACAATCTCCATTCGATGACTTGTTTCTTTATATTTTGACACTAATTTTTCGGTTTATTATGAAATATCAAATAAAAGCATGCGGGAAGAAATAAAGAGAGGAAAAAAAGTGAAAACATGTGTATGAACATACTTGTGAAGAACGGCTTGCCACTGACCCTGTCCATGATCTGGCGTTGGATAATTAATAATTTGTAATCTCGTGCGAACTCGTAACTCGTTGATCATGTCACCGATATCAAATACGAAGGGCGTTTGACCAAAATTGGCATCCACAACTTCACCTGGTGTTTGCAGACCCACCGTTGGATACAAATTCGGCTAATAATAGAAAAAAAAAATGAAGAAAAAAATATTTCCAGGTAAAATCTATTATCTAAATTATTCCAAGAGTAAAATTGATTATAAAAATTTGTCAATTACGGGTAAATCTGTGAATGCGACGCCCAAGTGATGGCCATTCTTTGTGTAAAATGCTGTGTTATCAACTAAATTAACGCCACAGCCTATAACATCACCAGTGGTAAATGTTGGCCCATAAGGTTGCCCGGTACCAGATGAACAAAAACTGTGGCCATCATCACCGTGATAACCGTACGAGTGTTTATCCCAGCCTGGCAGCCGATTGACGTTGACACCATGAGCTGACAGACCAATTCCCATATAACCGTCACGACCCTTACTCACTATTTTCACTTCAAAATAATACAGTCCACAGGCAGCCGGTATCGAATGTGTTGTACGAACACTGGCAGCATCTTTGTGTGTTTTACCATAACCTGTCAATAGGTAATTAGTATTATTGTTTTATTTATTAATGGATTATTAAACAAAAGGAAATAAAGGAAGAAAACAAAACCCGAAGTATAGGTTTATGTCAGAATAGAGAATAAAGCTTTCTTTTCAATGGCAATACGAAATTATAGCTTTAACGTTCCTCTCGATATTCTAAATGATGTCTTTATCATTTTCGTTACGTGACAAAATATTTACCAGATCAATCGACACACTTCAATTTCTTGTGTTTTTAGACTTATTTAACTGTTTTTAATCGTCTGTTTGTGGAACAAATTTTCCTCTTAAATGCGGAAGACCGGATGGATTAGACAATAGTTATGCATCAACAGCCAAGTCGTTTCTAGGTCACTGGGTCAGCCGAGTAACCGCTCATTGAGATGTGCATCGACAATCCCTACACACAATCTCTCACTACGATACTTGCAACAGTCTTCATCAATTCCTCTCCTTTATTCATCCAAAGTCTCGGATGCAATTTTAAAACGATGAAAAATATTTCACTGGTCGAAAATTTGAAACTTCGATCATTACTTTGCACTGTATAAAATAGCAATATTTTTTTAATATCCTACGTTAACGACTTGTGCCACTCTCACTTAGAACCACTTTGTTTTCAAAGTTTCATTTGCTTTCAACAAACTATAATGAGAAAAAAAAAGTGAAAAAGCTGCAAAATACAGGAAATATTCAAGTCAACAGGCAAGATGTATTTAAACGTCCTTCGTAAAAAATATCTACTACATAGAAATCCCTGACAAAAACTCGAGGAAAGCATTAAACATGACGATGCGGAAGGTGCACAATCACTCTGCAATGTAAAAGCATGCTGTAATAATAATATTGCCTTTATATTTAGTATTATACTGTAGTTCCCAATTTCACCGTGTGTAGGTATACATATATGTGAAAAACAGCTGTCATTGGCATTATAGAACTCTCGCACACAAAGCGGTCCCAGATTCCCTTTTTTTCCCCTACATTGGTTTAGTCTACTTTTTCATAATGAACACGTAGAATTAATTGACAAGAGATGAATATCATAATTTCTAAATTATTGTCTCATTATGACATCATAGAGATTATTTGATGGAGATAATTCATTGTGGAATGAGACTATGGCCGATCAGCTGATTCCTTTGTTTAGGTGGCTGACAAACAAGCGAAAAATTTAATGGAAGACTATATATATCAATCAATAGTTCATATATGTGTATTTTTCGTGCACGTGTGTGCATGTGTGGATATTAGTTTGCTGAAATAAAAATGAAGGATCAGGAGATTAATGCTGATGAATTATGATAAAATAGATGAAAATTTCTAGTACATATATGTTCCAGAAGGTCATGTTGAATGATTGGTCAAACATGAATCGCAGTAGAGGATATCACAGAGGTGCTTCGATACATACACACACATACCTTTGTAATGAACGCGAAGATTATTTTGCGATAATCCAATGTAATTGAATTTGTCTTTTGGACTCCATGACCTTGGCAACGGTGTCTCCTCTTCATTTACCATTGGATAAAGCATCTTGAGTCTGTCACTAGGCTGATTTTGTCCTGGATTTATTCTCGATGGCTCCATAACACTCGTTTCCTCATTGGTGGCGGCCATCATTGTCATATGCAGCCCCACTACCTCTCACAATTTATTTCACTTGGTAACAAAAAATTCTATCAATTTCGATCTTTAGGTTTTTAACAATATATTCAACATCTATTTTACAATCTATTATCTCGATCCCCTTATCCCTAAATCTCCTCGTTTCCCCTGTAGTTTAGACTCTGACAGATCCGAACATGTCACTGTATTGGAGCTTTCTATCCTTATCCACTTATTCATCCTTATTCACTTTTATTCGAGTCGAACATATGCGCAGATACTCAAGCGCAGTTCATTTACAATGGACGTTTTATGGAGGCTCTAGTGATATCTAGTGACATTCGGAGCCCGGCAATTTTTTAAATCAAATACTGTCTGCATAGCCAGTGTGATAATGAATTAACTAATAAATTGATAAAATCATAATGATCGATATTCATTTTTAATATTATGCATTATCGTTTGTAATTAAATATTAGTAATTAATTAATAATTACTGATGTTTAGAAGCATCATGCCCACATTTAGGAATTATATTTCACAGATTTTAGTATTTCATTCTATTATATAACTAGAGTCAGTGAAATTTGCATAATTTCATATATTTTTTCAGATTTTTACCCGGAAATTTAGATTTTTTAGGCATGAAGCACTAGGGAAACACTAGGGAATTCATTACTGAGCGCACCCTATGTTCCATTTGCTTTAGCTTTGTTGTCACCCCCGACGTAAAACATAAATAATATTATGAACATTCAACATATATATACAAGCCACTATTTACGGGTTTTGCAATGGAAATTTTCACTCCCAGATTGACAACAAAGTATTTTTTAGAAAACGATGACTTAATCGGTGAAAAATGTCGAACATGTTTGAAAAAAACAAGCGATATTTGGCAGGTATTTCAGTCCGATGGAGAAATATCTTCGAGAATTATGGCTTGCGCTGCAGTTCAGGTTAGACTTGCAGTTTTTCAGTTGCAAATATTGTTTGATATAGTGCATATTTTGTTGATTCACACACACTGTTCTATTTGAATAATTATAATTATAGATGAAATTGTATTGAATTATATCGATAAATGTTGAATTGATATTTGTTTTTTCGTTCGTTCAGGTGCATGAAGGAGATGGACTACCCAATGTCATTTGCTATTCTTGTCGGGAGTTGCTGGATATTTCCTACAATTTCAAATGTCAAGTAGAAAAAACTGACGCTAAATTCCGTGAGACATTCAAAACACCGGAGATCATGTTTAATGATGATAAAGTAGCTCAACCAGTTAATGCAGTAATAACTGAAGCTATTTCCGATGAAATATCTAATAAACAAATGAGGGAAAATGAAGTACAAACGAACGAAAGTGCGGAACAACAATATCAACCTGAAGGATACCTTCGAATGAATAATTCAGCTGATGAAGATGAAGATGACGATAATGGCAATAATGATGATGCTGATTGTGCGGAGGAGGGAGAGGAGGAGGAGGATGAAGGAGAAGAAGATGATGAAGATGAAGATGAAGACAAAGACGATAATAATGATGGTGATAGTGATGGGGAAGAGGAGAATTCAATTCAATGCCAAGAACGTGCGGAAGGGAAAAGTATGGAGGATGAAAAAAAATCCTTAATCATTACTCCCTACGTTGAGAGCAGTGGAATGTTTGTAGAAACGGAAAAATTTGAAAAATTAACGGAAGATATGAAATTCAAGTCAATCGATGAGGCAGATGAAAATTATCGAAACGATAAGAATCATGTACTATCGGATCGGGATGGATTGCAACAGGAAGTAATAAATACAGAAGAAAAACCATTTTATTTAGTACTTACTAAAAATAATAGTAGAGATGAGAGAAAAGACATTGAGGAACACGAAGGAAGTGAGAAAATTAGCGAGGAAATGAGCGAAATTAATGTGAAGCCAGAGGAAACCATTGGTTGTGAAACGGTGGAAGAAATAGATTCTCATCGTGCTCGTGATGTTCCAGATAAATCGTTAACTATGGAAATACATGATGAAATTGCAGAGAATAAAACGAAATATCGATATGTCTGTTACATGTGTGAACAACAATTTGTGAGTATAGAAAAATTGAAAAGTCACGTGGCAAATGATCACAATAGCGAGAAAGATTCTGAATCAGTGAATCGTCTCGACGACAATTTTCCATGCGAGGAGAATAAAAATTGTATGGAAAATGACGCTTCTAGTACAATAAGAAAGAAGAAAATCAAATTTTCCTGCAAGTATTGTCCAAAACAATTTACATATGAAAAATCATTTTCAACTCACGCAAAACAGCATCCGGAGTACATTAAATCGGAAAAATCAGTGGGAACAAAAGAAAAGTGTGATGAACGGCGATTTCATAATGATTCTGAAGATGATGATATGCCCTTGGAGGGTCTGCAGTGTACACAATGTGGAAAATTATTTGCAACGAAGAGAAATCTCAAGAGACACATCTCTACTCATAGCGGTTTGAAATTCAACTGTCCGACATGTCAAAAAGAATTTTCAAGAGCCGACAAGCTCAAGGAACACGAACAATCTAAACATAGCAATGAATTTTTTGCCCTTTCCGATGAAGACAATGACACGGATAGTGATAATCAAAATAAAAGAGATGGTGATAATCCCGAAAAAAGAAAGAAGGTAATAAAATAGTCAATATGTTCTTCTATTAATGAATTTTTAAATGTGAAATTTTGTATAAAATTGTACGTTGTCTTATTGTTAGGAAAAAAATCACAAGCCACATCAGTGCCCAATGTGTCCAAGAAGTTTTGCTCACAGTCAGACATTAACAAATCATGTGGAGCGACATAAAAGAATCAAGCAGCCTCAGAAACGATTTCTCTGTGAAGTGTGCAGCAAATGTTTCGCTCAAAGTGGTTCATTAGTTGCCCATATGCGTACTCACACTGGAGTGAAACCCTACGTATGCAATGTTTGTAGTCGTGCATTTACAAAGAGTACATATTTACAACTACATCTGAGAACACACAGCGGTGAAAAACCTTATATATGCCAGTACTGCAGTAGGGCATTTGCAAGGGCCAATACTTTAGCTCGGCATATAACTATGCACACGGGCGAGGCTAAATATCACTGTCAAATATGCATGAAATCATTTAGACGGTTGACATCACTCAACGAACACACATATACTCATACCGGACAGAGGCCATACGCATGTAAAATATGTACAAAAAGATATAATAATGCTGGCTCTCTCTATGCTCATACCAAGAAATGTAAAGCCCAACAATTGTCATCAAACAACTCGAACTATCCCCTCGCCATTGAAACTACCAATCTTGATGATCCTACAACTTCTTTGAACAATCAACCTTCCACAATGTTAATTTATGCTCCTAAAAAATCTCATCCAGAAATCCAACATGTTAATTCGGAAGCAACAACACTGCCAGAATTTATTCTTCCCAATATTCAACCAGAAAAATCACTATCCCCTGATCTTGTTCAGCCTGTATCTACAGATGATAGTAGTAATTTGTATTCCGTCAATACCAAACAATTCAAAAGCTTTTACTACACGACATATCCAACTTTATAAATTATCAAAAAAAAATCATCCATCATCACCACCAATATAACAAACAATTCCGAACGGTACGAATAATGCTTTTTCTCTATTCACTGTACTGTTTCCATAGTCTTATTTTATCCCTAAGAACTACACGTAGCATTAAGAAAATAATTATTTTTTAAATATTATATTGTATTTTATAATAAATTTTTGTAAAAAAGACGATATATGAGCAATGCTGCTCGTAAATTTATACTGCATTTATGGGATAGTGACTTTTTAAAAAAAAAACAATTATTTCATTAATCAACCTTTGACTATCCTCGTATTATCATATAAAAGATAGAACACAAAATTTATCAGTTTTTTCATCTTTGTTTATATTGGCGTGTATAGAATTCAAATTAGTCACTTTAGTAATTTTTCTAGGATGGGGTGGGCTAGTAACAATAATTAAAAATGCGCCTTAATCGCATTGCGCGGGCGCTCTGCGCTTTTTCTTCCATAAAATCCTAACCTAAAAAACTATTGTATATGAAAGTTTCAAAAGTATTTTGACATTTCCGAACTAAACCAAGTATTTCTTACAGAGAATGCGCGTAAATAGTTTTTTTTTCTCATTAATTATTACTTGTGATTGATAGTGATTTACGTATTTGTGATTAGTAATGAGCAAAAATAATGAAAATCGTCAAGGAAGAATATGTTTGATCCAATAGCAACTTATTTTATTTCATCGTTATCTTTATTGTATTAAAACGAAGAAGACTGTCAAGAGGAATTAATAAAAATGGATCAAATGCTACCGAGCCCAGGGTTCAGTATCCCTAGTATTGGAACTCCTTTACATCAACCAGAAGAGGATCAACAAATTCTACCGAATGCTTTGCAACAGCAGCAATCACAGCAACAATATCAGTTACAACAATTGCACACAATGAGTCCAAATTTACAGAGTGGAATGTTAATGTTGACGCCACAAAGAACAATGCACACTTACGCTCCAACTCCTTCTTTTGCAACTCCACAAAGTTTAATGCAACCACAGACCCCAGTATGTACCCTAAATTTCAAACAGTAATCCAAATAATATTCACCTACTGGGAATTTATAACGTCAAATGTTGTAGCAAAATATGATGTCACCAATAATACAGCCCTCCAGTCAAATAGCACCAGCTTCGATGGGTCCATCAACACCTGGTCCAATGACACCAATGACTCCAGCATCAGCTGATCCTGGAATTCTACCACAATTACAGTAATATCTCTATATTACCCCCCAATTGCGCACTGTCAAATTGATTATTATAATTTATATTATTATAGGAATATAGTGTCTACGGTAAATTTGAATTGTAAACTAGATTTGAAGAAAATAGCACTTCATGCTAGGAATGCTGAATATAATCCGAAACGATTTGCTGCGGTTATAATGAGGATTCGTGAGCCACGTACAACGGCACTCATATTTAGCAGTGGAAAAATGGTTTGCACTGGGGCTAAGAGTGAGGAAGATTCTCGATTAGCAGCAAGGAAGTATGCCAGAATAATTCAAAAACTTGGATTTCCAGTTAGTACTTATTCTGCTATACAATGTCAAGTCTTAAGTCAAGAAAATGATGCGTTCTATAATTCTTGTATAATTTTCCAGGCAAAGTTTCTGGATTTTAAAATACAGAACATGGTGGGCAGCTGTGATGTAAAGTTCCCAATTAGATTGGAAGGATTGGTTTTGACTCATGGTCAATTCTCCTCGTACGAGCCTGAACTCTTCCCTGGATTAATTTATCGCATGGTCAAACCGAGAATTGTATTACTTATATTTGTCTCAGGGAAAGTGGTCCTTACAGGTATGAGAAATATGAATATTTTCAATTATAATTATAATTTCTGTAATCCTTCCCCATTTTTTCCTGTATTTTTATTAAATTGGTTTTCTCATTGACTTTACAGGTGCAAAAGTACGGCAAGAGATCTATGAAGCATTTGACAATATCTATCCAATTTTGAAGAGTTTCAAGAAACAATGACACATTCGTTTCGTGATTCTGAACTTTTATTGTATGAGACTTTACACAATTTTTATCGTCAAATACAAACCACAAAAATATGGACTCGATTCCGGGACTTATCAATTCATGATTACAGTATATGTACATTTACAGTTATTAGTGGTAATGAATATGACAATTGTTGATGAGTCGAAAACTTGTCAAATGAATATTTGTTGATAAGAATTTATAAAACTACATTGTTTACATGGATTTCTCATACATATTCTTTTTAATTTCGAATAATTTTTAATGTGTCGCTAATAAATGCTATTACGGGCCAGAGTTTGAGCTTTGTACAGTAGTTTCAGTTTCTGATTCTCCATCTATATGTTTTTGAATTTCCCTTAGTGTTCTCGATGCGTGCTCGCGAAATGCTATCATTGTCTCTGAGTCCGGTTTTTTAGATAATTTTGTTAAAACATAATCAGTCGCAAGCTCTACACCCATTTCCATCTTTAAAAATTTCATTACGTATACCTCAGTAGTAATATCTTTTTTAATTTTCATACTATCCAAAAATTCATCAAGTTTTGGTTTAACATTCCAAGATATTTCTACAGAACCAACTCCAACGCCTTGGGATTCAATTTCAAGTTGTGAAATTATTTCATTCGCATATTCAACAATAATTTCCCGTATTTTATCGGCAATTCCGGTGGTTGTCGCGATCTCTTCAATTCTTTTCTCAATTTTCTCACATATATCCATGAAACTGTCAATAAAATCGCTCGAAACATTTGATTGCCTTTTCAAAATTTCGTGGAAAAAAAGATCAACAATGCTATCAGCTTCTTGGCCCTCCACATACTGATGAATAATTTTCAACAATAAATTTTTAACTATGCGAAAGACCGAATCATGCTTATCTTTGAGCATTTCACATATTGTTTTTTTCGCTCGTGAGTCATGCTGATCCTTGACAGATGCCGTCGCTTCCTGTTCACTACTATTTTTATTTAAAAATTTATTAACACTCGAAGGGTACTTCTCTCGCGTTACTATGGGAGGTAGAGAGCGTATTTTAAGTTTCAAATTTCTCACATCATTCCGGAAAAATTCCTTCTGCTCCTTCTGACGGATAATAATTCTCTCGAGCTTACATAAATCTTTACGCCACTCAAGTTCACTTTGGAATATACTTTTTGATGACTGCGGTGATTTTTTAATTATCTTATGAAATTTCATTTGCTCCTCCGTTAAAACCGTGAGAATACTCAACTTTTCAGTATTATCTCTGATGAGATTTTCCAATATTAAAATATGCTCATCGTATCTCTCCTTCAGACACTTAAATTGCTTCTCATACGTCAAATTATCATTCATATTTGCTCTTATATTATAAATAAGTTTTCTTATCACTGCTTCATAAAGTGAAGCAAGGGCGATTGGACATCCAAATTTCTTTATCATTTCACCGTTAATTTCACTTTTCAATTTTTTAATCTGAGTTTTCATATATTTGCAGTCTATATTCATTCTATGCAAATGGGTACAATATTGTTTATGCCTTATTGTTTGATCGTATGTTTCGCGCTGCAATTCACCGACTCTGGTATACAATTGTGATAATCTCGTCATATCAAAGACAACACAATTGAATATATTTTCTAAATTATCATCGTCAACGAAATGTTCAAGTTGATGGAAATTCAGTGTTAAAGTAATATCGATATCATTCAACTTACATTGCTTATCATACAAAAAATCATTTAGTATTTTTTCATTACTCTGCAGAGCAGCTTCAATTAATTGAATTTGTTTAGAATAATATTCGACTTCTCGCATTAGAGTTTCTACATTTTTTTGCTCATCTCGAATTTCGTTTTCATTATTGTGACGCATTAAACGCATTGAAAATGCTAAATCATACAATTCTTGAGAGCAATCTGTCGGGCAGACATTTTCATCAAAAGTAGTTAATGCAATCTTATGGATATCAATACTACCGTCACTATATTGTTCGTCCGTGCTAGTTTCATCAGAACTATCAGAACTATCGGAGCTATCTTGATTGGAAGAATTTGCTTGCTGTCCCGTACTTGTATTAGTTTTAATCTTTTTTTTGAAAATTCTTGTCAAAAATTTTGAATATTTATTATCATGTACTGCATTCATAAAATATCCTGTTTGTTCTTTAATTTTTGTCTGCATCATTTTGATATACCGATTTTTCTTATCAATATTTTTCATAGTCAATTGTAATTTATCGACAGTAGTTTGTTTATCCTGTATTTTATTATTTACCTTTTCCCTCAGTGAGTTCTCCATTATTTCACAATCTTGAAGAACTAGCAGTTCTTGATTTAATGTCAGTTTGTACAATTCAAAATAGACACCGTCTACGTGTACAGCTAGTCTATCATTCTCCAATTCATCCAGTTCTCGATCTATTTCTTCATATTTCATTTCAATATTCTTTATTATACAATCTTGTTCGTATAGTTTTCTTGATAAACGCACTGTCTTCATCTCTCTCTCCCATGGTGTTATCGTTCGATCATTTTCTTCCATTATCCTTTGCACACTCTCAGGCACCGTTATTTCAACTTCCTTTATTCGTTTTTTGTCCCTCATATTCAACGAAGTCGGTACCAACTCTGAATAATATGACAAAATACTTTCATCAGTTATAATCATTTTTAATTCTTCATCAAAACCCTGTTCCATTGTTTCTTCAATTATCGATTGTTTTTGCCGCCGTGCCTCTTTCACTTTTTCACCCATAGAAACGTACTTCTCCATCTGTATAAATTCATTTATTTAAAATAAAAACTGTTCATTGATAATTCATTGATAATTAAAATTGAAATTTACTCACTTTCAAATTGTTCTCCGGATATTCGATAGAATCATCGATTTGTCTCATTTCTGGTAATTCCTTTATAGAATTTTTTCCAATCTCTGAATGTATTGAATGCAATTTTTTAACTGCTAAGTTATCAATTTCATTTTGAATAGATATTTTTTTTGATCTTACAGACTTTAATCTGTCATTGAATACCTCGCGTAAATAGTGACACTGTTTTCTACAATCCAATAATTGTTTGTATTTGACGAGTGTTGTTTCCTGTTCTTGTTGACACTTCCTGTTATAATCCGATGAAACTTTCAATTTGTAATCACCAATTGTGTTCCTGGCATTTTCAACATTTCGCACGTCATCTGGATGATCGCAATTGGGATCTGGTTTTTTTTCATGCATTATTTTCCACTCTTTAGCTCTCTTTTCCATTTGAATTCTTTTAACATTGTAACGCCTTAATATCTGCTTCATTTCTACCGTTAATTTCCCCTCATCCGGTAAAAGGCGATATTGATCCTGTAGATAGCTAACTATACCATCAATTTTTCCCTTTATTTCTTCCTCTTTATTGCTCATTTCTTCTTCTTGATCTTCACTTTTATCCATTTTCAAATGATTATCTTGAGAATATTTCCGTGAATCTTCAGTCTGGGAAATATTCTGGAGAATGTCCGCATATTTAATCTGGAAATCTTCATCAAGTTTCTTTTCCTTTACTGAGTGGATAATTTTATCTGGCTTAGACGTCCGACAAACAGCAAATGGAAGGCAAGTGATTGGTGATACGAAATGATCCATTAATTTTTTAAGAATTAATTTACTCTTCTCAAGTTTAAATGCCATTCGCTGAGTTATCAAATCCATTTCATATTTCAATTGAGAGTTCAAATCATTGACAATTCGGTTGTCCAATATAAAATTACTGGGGGGAATCTGCTGAGACTTTATCAAGGCCTTATTACGCTCCATTATTGCCTGATAATCTTTAGTCAAATTCCGTAACAAGTGATACATGTCGTCTCTATTTTTCTTGGTGACTGTCATAATCCTATTTGATTCAGCTGTTATTAATACTTGTTCTAAGCTCGGATAATTCACATCTCTGATATCATCAACTTCTTTCTCCTGAATTCCTCGGATTTCTACACTAGTTCTATCATGACTTTCAAATTGAATTTTAACCGATGAATCCACTTCACAAAAATTCACAAGATACGAAAAAATGTTTCCATCATAACCGCAGGTAAATAAATATTGCTCATCATAACTCAACAATATTTTCTTCATGTAACCATGATAATAGTCGTGCATAGGTAAGCACAAGTGATGGGAAAAATTTGTAAAATTATTGGGATCTACACGGCAAATACGTAGTTGTCCATGTTGAATACCCAAGATGATGAATGTATCATTGTAAAGTAAAAAACTTTGCAATTCCAAATCGTCAGCGTCTTGCAACGGAGTGGCTTTCAAAGGCTCGACTTCCTCAATACAATATTCACTCTGATTATTATTTGTTTGTTCAATTTTTATACTGGGATATTCGTAGATATAGCCAGCATCATATCCACCCATTGATATCCAGATATTTCCAGTATTAGTGTAATCAATGTTCTGCACAGGATTCGGTTTACTTGGTACATAAATATCAGGAAGTGGTAAAGGATCTTCAATATCTTCTAGAAATACTTCCTCATCGATATCAACACCAGGATTCAGTGATTTATATTCTTCCAACTTCTTTTTCATTGCTTCCAATCTTTCCATCGCTTGTTTTTCAACCTGCTGTTTAACTATTTCACGTTTGAGTGCAGATTTAATCGACCGAAATTTAAAAAATTTCGCCTGATAGTCATCCAATTGATATGTCTGGCGATCCTTATTATGCAGTGGTAATTGTTTCGGTAATTCAATTTCACCGAAATGACCTGCTGTGCAGCCAATTAAAATTGTTGATGAATTATCAGGCTTCCAATTAATGCGCGTGATACCCGATGGCACTTTTATAAAACCAATTGGTATTAAATTGATACGTTCAGCATAATTTTGAATAGAAAATAAAAAAATTGTCGAGTCTTCACTGCCAGTTATTAACAATTTTGATGAAACATTTAATGTGAGAGTTGTTACCTCGTTAGTGTGTGGTTTAACGACTTGAATTAACTGAAGACAGTTTAAATGAGTTTTATTTTCTCTAGTAGCTGTCGGAGGTTCATAATTATCAGATGAGGCGATAGCAACAGCTACAACACGAATTACTCCACTATGAAAACCACATATTATAGTAGAACCAGTTTTATCAAGAGAGCATGGTAGCCATACAGCTGAGCTTCCTTCATCATTAAATTTGTGAGTTATAATGAGCTTCTTAGCCACATAATTATAAATGTGAAGATAACAATCAGATCCAATAGTTGCTAGATAATGACTCCAAGTACATACGCTCATATCCATAACAGGACCTGCATGACATCTCAATAATTGTCTAGTTGCATTTTTATTTTTTCCATTTTCCTCGTCACTCTTTCCAGTCTGATCATCAAATGTTGACAAATCAACTAGCCATAAGCCTCCATTACCATCTTGTGCATACCATTCTTTATCATTATCATTTTTTGGATCTTTTTTCTTTAACGACATGATCATTGTGGATGTCAATGACACATCAATGAGATTCCTCTCAATATTCACTTCAAATTCATTTATTGGTTCAATTTCAATGAATCCTTTGTCCTGAGATACATCTGTCTGATCAATTGTCTCATACGACCAGACCCTCAGCCACCCGTCCATGCCAATTGACATTAAATCGCCATTGTAATACTCAAATTGTGTAATCATCTTCAAATGACACGGTTTATTATTCTTTCTTCTCACTTCTAATTTGATGAGACCGTCTTCCCATATGAGAATATTTCCCCATTCACAACCAGATATCACTTTCTCATCTGGCATTGAATAAAGACCTATGATATCCGAAATCTCAGTTCTCCCGAATTTTCCTAATTTGTCTTCAAGTTTAAGTCCAGTGAATGTTTTTGATATTTTCCAAAATTTAATATGACCCGATCCACTTGTTACCAAATGCCCAGGAACACTCGGTGAAAAAATAGCATTATGGATGTCCTGCTCGTGAGATTTACACCTTAACAAAGGTATTGATTTAATCCAATTCCATATTGTTATTAAATAATCGGGACTGCAGCCCTGGGATAATAGTAATTTACCATCAGGACTGTACGCCAAGTGCGAATAATTTTTTTTCGTTCCATTTTGCAGAACTGTTATTACATTCATACTAGGCCATTTGTAAATTATTATTGGTGGGTTTTCACCTGTTTCACCAACAGCTATATGAGACTCTTGAGGATTCTTCGCTATATGACCTATTCCGGTGCCCATCGAGCACCTTTTAAATGTTACTCTATTGTTTACAACATCATAAAAATGAATAAAAGCTCCAGATGAAAAAATCAATGTATTTGGATCAGGAACACAGAGATTGAAGTATCTACGACAATCGTATCCATAGGAATGATTAAATTGCACTGGACTATTTATCACACTTCCATTCTCCACACATTCATCATCAGGAACGTTATTATCGCTATCGTGCGGCATTTGTACTTGAGTTTCACTTGCATTCTCTTGATAATCATCTTCCGGAAATACATCATTATCTGTTTTTATCAATTTATTACTATCCATTGTGTAATTCTATTTTTATCCAGAGACTGACATTGTGAAAAATGTTTTGTTGTCATAGTGATTTGTTATTTCATACATATATGCCATTCACTCATTTGTTAGATCAATAATATCCTTGAGAACTTGGTCAAAGACATTTGAGACAGTATCTGTTAGTATTTTATCTACTTGAATTTCTGTTAATTGCTGATAAAACTCTTCATTTCGTATGTTTAAATGCCCAAACAATTCACAAGATGCTGTATGAATTCCTGTTGTATCTTTGATCCCACTGACGGATTGTCGTGGCCAAATGTAAATTCTCATATCATCATAAAGACCATCAATGTTTTTCGATGATAAACTCTTTGCTCGTGTTATGTAAACATTGTGTGCGATTTCATGTTTTTGTAAGTAATTTAAAATCTTGAACGCCATGTTTGCAAAGGATTTTACATTATTGTTAAAAGTTGACCATTTAATACAAAAGCCTGGTGCAGGATAATTTTTTTTTTCAATGATGCAGAGTTTGTTGGAGACTGAGAGAAGTTCCATGGATTCTAGCAACATTTCGTGTTTTAAATAGTAAAGATGCCAGTGTAAATGGTTTACAGAGGCATTTGCACATAAGCTATTGAAGACACCTCGTAGATATGGAGAATTGCTTAGTAATAGTAATTCAATAGTTTTTCTGAGGCTCAATTCAGTGGCCACTTGTGGAAGACATTCAAATCTATGTGGTAAGAATAGACAGTGGCCAAAACCTATAGGACTGACATTTGCAGCTATAATATTGTTGCCATCTCCAACATCAATGTCAAAAAATATTTCCTCATCACTGATTTTTGTAAAATTAAAGCGATCTGGGTTTGATGGCATATTCATGGATTGTATATTCTCAGGTTGACGACGATTAAGAACTCGGTCGACATTCAACTGTGGAGACAACATAAATTACTATCATCAAAAATAATGATTAATTTGAATTTGTACCTGCGCTAAAAATTGGTGGTTCCCCCCAATTCGTTTGCAATCATTCATATTGAGTTTGTATCGAAGCACATTATTTTTTTCAGCCTCCTGCCATTTCTGTACGATTAATTTATCAAACTCCGATGTGTTATCGTTATCCTTTCTAAGAATTGGTTGAAAATCTCCTTCGGTGTAATGAAATACTGGAAATACTGAACCAGATGATAACATTATTGGGTTTATTTTATTTTACATAGGGAGCAATTGAGAAACAGCTTTGTCGATGAATGTGTGGTTATGTTTTCCGATGAGAGATCTTACTGTTTCAATAAATTTCTTATAGAAAGGTGCGCGTAGAATGAAGACAACATAAAAATTTGATCCTTAAACAATTTGTTTACTCACACAACAAGTTTACATTGGTTTTCACTCGTCAAGGGAACATGTTGATTCCTATTGCATAGAAAAATTCATTTAATTGGTTTTAAATTAATATTTCTCAGCATACACAGATCTCTAGCCATAGCTTTTCTTCCAGGAACTGTCTGAATGTCGTAGAGCCTAAGCAGAAGATCTGTTGTGAAGAGCTCTGGTAAGGCTTTGAGTAAACAGGGGATGAGGGTTTGTGGAATGGCTTGAAGTACAACACGAGTTCGGTCTTTGCCACAATGCACCATAATTTTGAAAAATTGCAAAATAAAATGCGTCTGCTGTGATACTTCGCCATCCCGTCCTGCCAAGTAACTGAATGACTTGAACAAGTCGTTTAGTGTACTCATGAGTGGATCCCTCAGGACAGTTGATTTTTGGCCATTTGTTGGTCCCTGTGCTTGGGGTGAATTCGATCCAAATAGAGTATTCGAATCACCAGCTTCATTGAGTCGTAATATTTTATTAGCCGGTTGGCCACATAGATTCTCCAATTCCTCGGATTCCATATCGCGTCGAGTTCGTTTTCGATTATTACATCTTTCAGGATTGGAATTATTATATTCCAGAGTCGAGAGAATAGAATAAACGCAGAGTTTAGCCAATTGAAATGACTGCGGCTCCACTAATTCCTCACCTCTAAAAACAAGAAACAATGGGTAGAATTATAGTTATAGATATTTTAAAAAATCCATACTATTGGCGACAATAGGAGATATATTATTTGAACTTACTGCAATGAATTGTACAGGTACTGTGGCAGTACGTGATTGAGCAAATTGATAGTGCAGTGTTCAATATCTAAATGGAAGATGGCAAATACGAGATCGATGGCACGATCGAGTTCCTCGCGATTTCTGAATTTCAATGATTCCTTGACGAGATTGGCAACGAACCAAAGAGTGCCACCAGTGTTGAGAAGAGATTCCAATGTTTGTGTGGACTGAATGGTGATCCAACCACGTTCTTGAATATCTTGCCACACAGATTGCAATTGCTCCAATATCGGTTGCTTGGAAATAATACTGAAAAAATAAAATAATTGAAATGAATACATATATAAAAATATAAGAATATAAGATAATAAATATTTATAATGAATGAATACCTATGAGACACCGTGAGAGCCTTTGTTTTTGATTGAGTTGGTGGATGAACGTCGTACTGCATTTTCCTTATGATTTGAAACATAAGACTGGATGTATCGTGTTTGAAATTATCCTGCATTTCATCATTAGGGAGGGGTGTTACGAATTGCTGTACCATGTTCAGAGGTTTAAGTCGAGCATCTTCATGGGTAATACCCATATGAGCGCATAGCCAAGCAGTTGCACTAACAGGTAGACAACAAGCCGCTGATCTCAGTCCATCGAGTGCTCTTTTAACATCAGCAGCACTCAAAACTCCACCTTCCCAAGCACACAGTAATTCCCGAACAACACCCATAGCACTTTGACAAGTAACGTGCCATTTGACATTACTTGATTTGAAATCAGGCTCGGCTGATGTTATTTGGGTTAAAAGGGCATCGACCCGTGTACTGTCTATATTGTGAAGCATTTTTTGCGGTGACTTTGGCTTATTTTTCTCTGGCATACACTCTCGCACCCATTGCTCAAAGAATGAATCTCCACCCTCTTCGAGAACAATGTCGGAGCCATAGGTTTGTACAATGCAGCATAAAATGAGGAATGATATATCAAAAAGCATGGCTCTGGTAGCTGCTGTTTTTCCTGGCACAGGCTCGTTGATTTGCTTGCTGCACTCATTGAATTTTATCAATTTTGATACTAAAGTCTTGAGAGAACCTTGCACAGTCGCCACTGATAACATCAAATCTAAACTTTTACCATTAAGAACCTGACACAACATACTCAGTAATGCTTCTTGAATCTTAGTATAATCAGCACTCAATGTTTTCAATATACCAGCTAATGTTGGCTCAGCACGTATTATTACTTTCATAATGGATGATGTCGGTGAGCTTGATGATTCTAATTTTTGCAGAGCTGCTACAATCCCTTCTCTACGTCCACTCAATTGTTTAACATGTTTATCCGTTACTAAATTAACTTTCTGCAGCTCAGTGAGAAGACACTCGATACTGTTGCACGAACATGTGGCATCCATAATATCCAACAATGGTGTAAGTTGAAAAATAAGTTCAAATGCATCCACAATATCCTGAGAGTATTCAAATTTTTCATCTTGATTGGATAGTGTATTGACATGAAGATCTCTCAATATTGAAGGTAATTTTAGAAAAGTCACTGCTCCCCACTGCGATTCTTTAACTGTTCCAATAGCATTATGCAGACACATTAAACAAGCTCTTATTATTTCACAATATAATCGGGCATTACTGTAGCCTTTCAATCTTTGAATCATGAGGAATTGATTGACAAATATTGTTGTTTCAGTACTAGCATTCAATAATACTTGAACAACAAACATTGGCTGTAAACAATAGGTTATAGATTCCACTGGAGGATCTGCAGAAAGTGGCAGAATAACACTATCAATTTCAAAATTTATCAATTTCTTCAATGACTCCTCAATCGGTGGTGACTTTGGCCCATTTGTTTTGTGATAAGCCTCAATCTCTTGACATTTTTTTACAACTTCAAGATAGAGATCTCGATCATCATGCTTAGCAAGATATATCATAGCACACAGAAAATCCGAACTCAACATTTGCTTCAAAATATTCGCTGGCTTTTCCGTTAAATTGATAGCTTGGCCAATTGTCGTTGTCTGTTGGGGTAGTTTTATCAAGTTTTGTATATAGCAGTCGAGTAACCAATGAACAATTGATAATACAGAGGCAGCCAAAAAATCTTCCTCCGGCCTTCCTCGACATGTTATACCCACTTGAATTGTTTCCAGAAATTCTAATAGACAAATGATACAATGAGGCTTATGAAAGCCATCGTATTTACTGATTCGTTGGAGCACAGCAGCATATGAGACTAATTGTGAACTCAATGAGTGTTTGAGGTATGAGAGAATTAACTCGTTTGGTCCAGGCCCTACTAGAGCCTGTTGAAGTATGCAATCTGCCAGATTATATACATCTCCACTCACTCCACGAGGAAGGATCGTTTTTATATTTATCCCCCATTGTAGATCACTCCAGCGTTCGCGCCAAGCACGAAGTAGAAGTGCCTTTAGGCTACCTGTTTTGCTTGTTACTTTGGTCTCCATTGTAAGGGCTACTGTTGTTACTATTGGTGATACTGCTGATGATAGTGATGGTGCTACCGGCTGTAGTGCTGCTGCTGGTGATGTGAGCAGTAGAACACGCATTATTCACCTATGCTTTTTTTTACTGGAAATCATAACCAAAAATTTCATATCTGTTATGTTGATTTCACATCATTTATTTATCGTTTTTTGTTTCAATAATATAAGTACTAATATGGGACAAATACCTCATCTTTCATGTGTCATTAAACTTGAAGAGCTAGAAAGCTTGTCAAGAATTTTTTGATTTCACAATATTTATTAAACTTTAACTTCGTTGAGAGGTAATAATTAGATTTTATAACTGTAATAGTAATATTATTAGAAATGTTTTTGTCCCGTTACATGCCAACTCTCATAATGTTATTCTAGAACAATTATCCAGACACTATTTTAAAGAGAGTTTCTCTCTGGCATCACTCTTAGGTCTGACGCTCAACTGAAGATTGAAGGGAATTGGAGGATATTTTATTCTTTAGAGGTGGGAGGTGGGAGGTAAAGTGGGGGTATATACACAGATTATATAGGGGAGATCAGTAACGTTTACGGCAAAAGTTCAACAGCGACTTTCCGAGCGGCGGTTGCGGAACTCAATCAGAGGTCGTACCCGTGAATAAGGCAGGGCACGAGGCTGAGTGTCGATAACGGCGTAGGAGAGGTAGAGATAGAGTGTGGGGAATGAATGCTTTTTGTTTTTTATTTGTTTAACTGAAATTTAGCCGACTGTAAAACGAACGGAGGGGGGAAGCCACATCTTGTGGAATTTCAAATGGACAAAATTATTTAATATATTGAAGATATACTACTAATGAAACTATACTATTCTAATGAACGCGTTGTCTAATCGGCAGCGTGCTTGGCTAGCACGCGAACGGCTAGGGTTCGATTCCAGTTGAGCTCACATAAATTAGATTTATGAGTTGCTGTCCTACAGCCATGTATTTTCAAGCATTTCCTTCTTCTGTCCGAGTGTTATTGACTCTCGCTCAATTCCTATGTTCGATTCTTGACTAAATAAATAAACTCTTTAAGAAAAAAAAAAGGGTTCGATTCCAGCACCATCCTTTTTTTTTGAATCAAAATGATTGCAATTTTTTTTTGTAAACGACTAATCAATCGACATCTTGTTTAAAAATTGAATATGTCCTCGATTTTCATATTCCCCTGATACTTTTTCGAAAATTTCGAATTTTTCAATTTCAGTGAATACCTCCTCGATGTTCATGTTCCCCTAATATTTTTTCAAAAATTTAGAATTTTCACGTTTCAGTAAAATACCAATTTGAAAATTCAAAATTTTTGAAAAAATATCAGGGGAGCATGAAAGTGGAGGAGGTATTCACTGAAATGTGAAAATTCGAAATTTTCGAAAAAGTATCAGTAGAGCATGACAATTGAGGAGGTATTCATGGACATCGAAAAATTCGAAATTTTTGAAAAAGTATCAGGAGAGCATAATAATTGAGAAGGTATTCACGAAAATTATAAAATTCAAAATTGTTGAAAAAGTATCAGAGGAGCATGACAATTGAGAAGGTATTCACTGGAATTGAAAAATTCAAAATTTTCAAAAATGTATCAGGGGAGCATGAAGATTAAGAAAATATTCACTGAAATTTGAAAATTCGAAATTTTTGAAAAAGTATCAGGAGAACAATTGAGGAGGTATTCACGAGGTATACCTCATTCGAGGTATTCGACAGCGGGACTGCTACTGCGGTAGTTACCGAGTCTGCTAACGGGTAGACACCCCCACCATTGCGTGTGGCGCCCTCCCTCTCTTGGGGTACAGTACTACAAAGCCGTTGGGGTCACTCAAACCCCCAGAACTGAGCCTCTACTTTAGTCAATCCTCTTTGGAATATTCTATGACCCTGTTTTACCGTTCTATTTTCCACCGAAAATAAGTCAATCACCTTCTTACCGACTGTGAAAAAGTCGTTGAAAAATCGCGCGAAAGTCACCTTTCACTCTTATACCAATAAATAGTGATTAAAGAAAAACATTGAATCATCTAAATTACAATCAACTAAAAACTAGAGCCTCCTTAAAAAAATTTAAAAAACCAATTCCTCCCCTCAAATTCAATCATAATCACAACCATAAAAAATTATTAATAATTTGACGACAGAGAACAATTTTCTAACCTCCTTGCTCCAAAGCATTAAAACATCATGAGGACTCGACAGTAATTAAAAAAAAAACTCAAATAGCTTCTGAATTGCACAAAAGCAATTTGTCCCCAAAATCGACTCGAAAATCTTGGAATAAATCCTTAAAGATCTCATCTAAGGGAGATCCGTTCCTAACCTTCCCCCAATCGACTCACAACACAATGATAATCCCTATCTCGAAAATCGTCAGCTGTTCCTCGGAACACCCTGACTTCCCCGTGTCAAATCTCCTGAAGAACCCTCCACCAGGACCTTGGAAATGCGAAAAACCCGGAGTCCTCTTGACGTACGTCATCTTCGAATTCTCAGAGCCCATGTGCATAACAGGTTTGGACATCTCCAATTATCGTTCCTGCATTGTCATAGTGACAGCATCGACAGAGTCAGATCCTGACTCGTGGATTCCAATCGTCAATCACCAGTTCCTGAGCCATGACGAAGCAGCCAACAACAAATTCCGAGATCAGGTCCAGCTGTTCACCAAGAAGGAGTTGAATTCCGAGACGTTGAAGGCAAGGATCGCCAATAATATTTACTGTTTGCAACTATTGAGGATGCCTATCGAAAATAAATGGAATAATTTTGCATAGTTTGTAATATTAAATTGAAATTTTGCCGAATGCTGGTTGAAGGTGAAATTTAACAGGGCTAAAGTCACCTGCATGCAGTCAGCGAACACTAAAATTCTCTTTGGCCTGTCTTCAATTATCCTGAAGGGCGAGGCTCCTCTCTCCATGGACCTCGATGTCCTGGGGAGGTTCAAGCTCAAACCTGAAGCCTCTGAGAAACCCAAGAACGACTTCAAGGCCAAATTTCTCAGGCTTTTCCCGGAAAAACAGAAGGATTACAGGTAAAAACTTTTACAAGTCTGACATTAATCTGACGTGAATGATATTTAAGATAAAAAAACAATTCTAAAGCAATTTGATTGACAAATTGAATAATAACAAATCTGCGATTATGCATTGCCCTACACTAACTAGTCAGACTGCAATATTAATTTGCATTTAATCATCGAATAATTACAATAGTCTTGAAATTTATTCGCAGGGAGGAGATTAAAGAGAAGATCAAGGAGAACGGTTTAGGGGATTTCAACAAGAGACAGGAGGCTGGAGGGACTCCAAAGAGAAGACCCCTGTTGGAGAAACTGGAGGCTGGGAAGAGTGAGGAGGTTTTCGGAAAAAAGAAAGACAATGAAGAGAAGGACGCGAAGCGAACGCCATTTGGAGATGTCATACCAGAGGTAAAAGAGAACTCCACTAAAAAGAAAGATCCCAAGCAACACTCCAGTCTTCTCCTCGACGATAACGAAGCGAAGAAGAAAGTGAAAGTGAAGACAAAAGATAAAGAAGAGTCCAGGCCTAGCACATCTAAACGACGCTCTCATTTCCTCGATTCTGATGGTTCGGATGATCCTGATGTTGACGATAGTGAAAAAAAGAACAATAAGAAGACAAATGGACCGAAAAAGGGACCGAGTGCACAGGATAAGGGGATGAAGGGTGAATCTCCCCGAGGGAAGTGCTCAGTGTGCCAGGGGAAGGTGCAAGACAGGCCCTGTCTGAATTGTAATAAACTACCGAAACAGAAACCTGTGAAGTTTCCTCAACCGAAGAAACCGAGAGTTGAGGAGAAGAAAAAGGCATTTTCCAAGTTGATGGATGATATCAGCTTCTCCCTGAGTGGCTATGTGAATCCTCAGAGGGATGAGATCAGGAGAAAGGCTCTCAAGATGGGAGCGAGATACGTCGCTGATCCTAATGTCACCAGCAACAAGTGCACTCACTTGATTTGCGCCTTTCAGAATACACCAAAGTCTCAGCAGCTCAAAGGACATTCCAAGATTGTCTCTCATTTGTTCATCGAGGAGGCCTTCGACAATGAGAAAAGGTATTTTAGACCTAGTGAAGAATTTCGAGAATCTAAAGGATCTGTGATGATCATGAGAAAATCACCAAAACATTTTGTAATTTGTTTTAATAAGTGAATCATTTTTGATTTTCGGATATTTCTCCGGTTCCTTTCGTATTGAGATCATATATTATGTATTCAAGCGAAAGCGCACTAATCTACAAAGACGTAAATTACGTAATTACTACCATTGGTCATGGAGTTATATAATGCTGAGCGAGAAAATATGATTTTCCTATATAATAATAATAATAATAATAATATAATAATATATAATAATAATTCCTATTTTAGCTAGCGTTCGACTTTGGTTCGATTTTCCTCCATTTTCAAAGCAAATTAATAGGGATATCTAAACACCATTTTAAAAAACAACTAAAACTTTCGGTTATTAAACATTTGAGGCTCTATCGCTCGGTTTTTTTTTATTGGGAATTTATTTTTCGTGCAGATTTCCTTGGAGACGTTACGCAATGGACAAATCCGACAGAAAACAGCCGGAGAGTGAAGAGGAAGTCGAGGGAACGGATTCTCCTATTCCCCCACCAAATCCATATGATCAGCAAACTGATCCCGAGTCTGAAGAAGATTATTAAAACCCAAAATCATTCCACTCAGACTTATACCAAAAGTCATAGTGAACTGGATTTACTTGTATATAGTAATTCTCCCAAATGAAATTTTTGTACGGTCCCCAGGTCTCGAACGTTATTTATGAATAAACTTGTAAAAACATCGTATCTTAATATTTTTGCACAGAAAATAAAACAGAACAAATCACCATAAATGAATTTATCCACTAGAGAAAATCGATTCGAGAAATTGATAGAATTTATTTCGTCTTTAGGGCTCGGGTGGATTATCTAGAAAAGATAATTTACTCCGAAATTCGGATTCCTAATTACTTTGGCAATTAATCGTTTTTTTCAATAATTGTTAGCTAGCGTTCTAGCGGTTGTCAACAACTAGGCCGTTAGCTAACAATTATCAGGAAAAACGATTAATTGACGGAGTAATTAGAAGTCCCAATTTTGGAGTAAATTATCTTTTTCAGACAGTCCATCCGGGCCTTAAATGTTGTTTGGCAAAATCAAAATTAGATTTACTGGCAGGTGTTCAAAAAAAAAGTTTAATTGAAGAAAATAATTTCCCTTGAATCTAGTAATACTGACATATCATTACGATATTTATATTTCCAAATATATTTATTAAAGTCATACTTTGTCATCGGGAAATTTTGCCTCTACAGCCTCGTCAATGAATTAATCGATATCTGGAATACTCAGAATAATCAGTGAAAACTGCACATTATCTTCTAAAAAGTCAATAAGAGCGGATTCTTTATCGACTTACGTCCAGTTATCTGCGATCTTCGATCGTGCACAGACGTAACGGCAACAGATTGTTCATTCTGAAGTGATGAATAAAATCGTGGGATTAAACCTCTTCTTCTTCGTGTCATCAGTACTTGGCAATGATGAAGTTTGTAAACCCATCATGGGATCCTACAAATTGTGCCGTAAATCCAACACACTAACTCGTGTAATTACCGACAACGCATTCCTGTCTTCCTTGTACTTGTTTTTAGATTGGACCGACGACACGACAATCGGTCCGAATGCTTTCTCCAATTTAAATCTAAATGTTCTCAGTTTGTACTTCCCTTATCCAAAGTACAATGATCCGCCTACAATTGCAGTGACACTTCTACCAAATTCCTTAGTTGGCTTATCAGAATTAAAAAATCTAACAATCAAAAATGCCAATATTAATTTCGGTGATGGGAATCCCCTGTCTTCACTAGTATTATTGCAAGAATTAGAGATATCTAAATCCAATTTTACTGAGATACCAACTGATATGTTAGCGATGCTGCCGAATCTTGAAGATTTATCACTGGAGGGCAATCAAATAAGAAAGATCGAGCCAAAGGATCTGCTGCCCCTGAAACATTTGAAAAGATTGGATTTGAGTTACAACGACATAACTGATATTAAACCAGGGACTTTTGATGAATTTAACGCATTGAGGACACTGGATCTGTCTTTCAATTCTTTTCCAGTAGTGCCTGGACTCCTGAGAGGATTATCTTGCTTGAAGTTACTTCGAATATCTAAATCGTTCGATCACAACGGTTTCCAGTCTGAGATGCTCTCAGATGTACCAAATCTGGACGAACTGCAATTGGATTTCAATAATCTATCTACATTGTCCCCTGATATGTTTCAGAATCTCAGGTCACTGCGAGTGCTCTCCTTGTACGGCAACAAAATTCGGGATATTCCTCGAGGAGTTTTTGACCAAATGCCATCACTGAAAGATATTTCAATAGCTGACAATGAAATTGAGACGATAACTCCGGGAGCGTTTGGTGATTTAGACATCGACACTGTAAATCTCTCCTTGAATCCTGTCAGAAAAACCATCCAGACTGATACCTTCAGAGGTCTTACAGTCCGTCGTTTGATCCTTTCCAAATGTAAAATTGCAAAACTGGAATCAAAGGCTTTCAACGGATTACAAGTCACACAAATGCTCGATTTGACTGAGAATGATTTAACTGAAGTCGGGGCTGACGATTTCTCAGGACTCAGGACTAAAAATTTAGATTTGAGTCAGAATCGCATTGCAGCTATTACTAAGGACGCATTCAAGATGACTGCAATGGAACGATTTGGACTTTATGGAAATCCTATCAAAGATAGGGTCAAAGCAACTGAGTGGGGAATAAAATCATCTGTCGTAATTATGAAGTAATTTAAAATGATTGAAAAATGGTACTTGTAGAAACTTCTATAATGAAAATCAAATAAAAATTATTAGTTTTCTTTAGACATCAGGAATGCTGTCACTCTCTTCTGTCAAGATCAATGTAATAATCTCAGAACTAACCCGAAAAATGCAACTGCATAGATATGAACAAAGTTTATAATACTAGATAACTAGATCACTGAATTTTTATTGCATATTGACCTGATGTCAATGCCAACGAAAGATCATCTTATCGCAATTCCATATATAATATTTATCCACTATCTTCCGTAGAGTTCTCTGTTTTTGAATGATCGGTAGATCATTCAAAAACAGAGAACTCTTCAGAGAACGTTTCAGTTATAACAAAGAGCGGATTGTGAAGCCATGAAGATAATTGTTGGACTGAATCTCCTGGCCGTGGTATCAGGAATCCTGAGGAATGATGAAGGATGCGTATCAATTAGTGGGAACTTCAAAGCTTGTCGTGAATCTCAAACGATCACTCGGGTGATGTCCGAGGGTTTCTCCAGCTACTTGATTTTTCCGTTGGATAGTGACACAACTATTGGTGCTAATGCGTTCACCAATGCGAATTTGAGTGTTCTTCGTCTGAACTTTCCTTATCCTGGCAAAGAGAAAATTACTCCAACCCTTACGCTGACATTTCTGCCCCATTCCTTCAGTGGTATGTCGGAATTAACAAATCTAACTGTCACACATGCTAATATCAATTTCAACTGTGATAATCCGTTTGCTGGACTCCTGTCACTCCAGAGTTTGGAGATAATGAACTCCAACTTGACGGAAGTACCAACTGAAATGTTGAAATCATTGCCAAATCTTGAAGAGCTATCTTTGGAGCGCAATCAGATACGGGAGATTCAGCCACATGATTTAGCACCGTTTAAACGTCTGAGGATTTTGAATTTGAGCTTCAATGAAATGAGAAATATTGCACCAGGAACTTTTGATGGACTGGATGGATTGAGAGTACTGGATTTGTCTTTTAATGTATTTACTGCTGTGCCTGGACTCTTGAAAGGATTGACGCAGTTGGAGATTCTTCGGATATCGAAATCCTTTGATCACCACGGATTCCAGTCTTTTATTTTTCAAGATGTCCCCAATCTCCGGAAACTGCAAATGGGCTACAATAATTTAACGGCTCTGGCTCCTGGAATTTTTGACAGCATTATGTCGCTGCGTAAGCTTTCCCTCTATGGTAATCAAATTCGAAATATTCCGACAGGTATTTTTGAACGTCTGCGATCGCTCAAGGAAATTTCTATAGCTGATAATGATCTCGAGACGATAGAACCGGGCGCTTTTGGTGATTTGAATCTTGATGGTTTGATTTTGTCTCTTAATCGTGTCAGCAAAATTATTCAGAGTGATACTTTTAAGGGTCTGACTGCACGTCGTTTGAGCTTGAACAAATGCAAAATTTCGAGAATAGAACCGAAAGCTTTCGGTGGCTTACGAGTCACTCAAATGTTGGACCTGTCTGAAAATGATTTAACTGATGTTGGAGTAGAGGATTTCTCGGGATTGACAGTTGAGGACTTGGACTTGAGTCAAAATCCTATTGAAACTATCGCCCAGAATGCATTTAAAAATACTGTTTTGCAACGATTGGGGCTTTATGGTACACCTGTTAAGAATAGAGTAGATAAAAATTCTTGGGGAATTGATTCATCAGTTGAGATTATGAAGTGATTAAGCGATAAACAATTCACACGTCCATTCTTATTTATAAATCGATTGTTTAGATTGAAATATATAATAAATAATAAATATAAAATATATAATAAATAATAATAAACTGATTGATTCTATTTTAAAACAGCTTGAATTCTCTTTCAACTATCTTTTTTAAATTGATAAAAAAAATTCTGAGAATCACGACTCTGAATATTACAAAGAAAAAGGACAACCTAAAGATGACAAAAAATAAGAAAATTGTTGTTGTTTGAATAATATTGTTTGTTTGTTGTCTAGCTGATTGAAAAAATTGAATTATGAAAACATTTTTTGACACAAGTCGTGTCATATTTTATTGATTTACTCCTTCACTTGATTTTTAATCGAAAAATTGTGGACTAAGCTAAAGGGATTTAAAGAATTGACTTAGATTATTATGTAGTTGATTTTCAATTACGAAGGAATGTACAACAAAATTCGAGTGTTTTCCCTACCAAAAAAAAATCATTAATATCTTTTATCTTCATTCTTCCATAATTCGAATTTTATCATTATGTTTATATTAGGCAATCAGGAAGGGACGGTCAACAATCGTAATAACAAGTCCCAACTTGTGATTGGAAAACAATATGGCATGAAATAGATAGTGAGAATTTCGATGAGGTCATGAAATGCTGATAGTGATAACGGCTTTCATTAAATTAATGGATTAATAGAATCTTCATTTAGTCAGCTCTGAGGGACTGGTGATTGAGCCAAGCATTGTGGTACTCTGTAGCAATGAAGATCTTCGTCGGAATCAATTTTATCTTGCTCGTGCTCTCAGTAAGTGGAAAAAATGAAGTTTGCGAAACTAATGAGGAAGGTTTCGAGATTTGCAGGGAAATAACTACCGTGATAACAAGTGTAACCAGCAAAATGGGTAAAAGTGCCGATACAAAAACAAGTGTGCAAATGGATTTTGATGGTGATGTAATAATCGGCCCAAACGCATTCAGCACTTTGCACCTCACAAGCATTATTTTGAAGATGCCATATACTGATGTGCGAAATAAATCTGCTCTTCCCACGGTGACTCTCTATCCGGATTCATTCGTGACTCCATCGAATATATTCAGCCTCTTCATCATACGGGCAAATGTCAACTTGCTTGGAAATATATTCAATTCGAATATACAAATAGAATGGGTACGATTGATTCGTTGTGGTTTCACAGAGATACCTACTGAAATGTTAGAATCTTTACCAAATCTTGGTGAACTCTCATTTGAACGTAATTATTTACGTGTAATTCGTCGAGATGCATTTGCTCCGCTGAAACGTCTGAGAGAGTTGCATTTGGAGGGAAATGGTATCGTCAGTTTGGAACTAGGTTGTTTCAATGGTCTAGCTAATTTAAAAGTATTGAATCTAGCTGACAACCAATTTTCCCCAGTCTCTGGTATTTTTAGTGGTCTGAATAAGCTGACAGGTCTTGATATTACCAATGCATTCGGCGATCATGAGTTCAATTTTCATAGTCTTCAAGACACTCCCAGCCTGATGAACCTCAGAATGGGAAACACCAACATAAAGTCTCTGAAACCCGATATGTTCTCCATTGTTCCTAGACTTGCTTATCTGTTTTTATTCGGAAATCATATTTCCAGTGTTCCAAAAGGGGTGTTTGATACGATGAAATTCCTGAAACTAGTTCATCTGGCCCAAAACGATATTAAGACGATCGAACCGGGTGCATTCTCTGGATTGAATATGAATATTCTTTATCTCTTGAATAATAAAGTGGATAAAACCATTGAGACAGGTACATTCAGTGGCTTATCTGTCACGGAGTTAAATCTCAGGGCCAGCAACATTCGAGAATTGCAACCAAGAGCTTTCGATGGTCTTTCTGCAAAGCAGCTTGATTTAAGCGATAATAAATTCACGCAAATCGGTGCTGAGGATTTTTATGGACTGCAGGTTGAGGAACTCATCTTAAAGAATAATAATATTACAGCTATTGCTCCAAATGCATTCAAGAATACTAAAGTGAAGAAACTGAGGCTGTTTGGTAATCCCATCGATGATAATGATAGAGAGACTTGGGGTCTTCCTGAAACAACAGAAATATTATGGAATGAATACTCATGGTGACCAGCAAGATTAACAGTCGAGCAGAGAATACTTTCTTGATTGAATGGATTCTACAGATATCGATGGAATATAGTTCATAAGCATGGCATTTATTCCCAGATTTAATTCTAGTTGAAGGAATTAGAAAACCCAAATATCTGGTAGTAACTGGATAGCTCTCACAAATATATTACAATTTGTTCCAATATTTGTCGTTATCTGTCTTAGCAGATTACTCGGAGTTAAATATTCCACGTGATTTTTTCTATCTTAATTCTTTTCTATTCAGTGTATCGGCGTTGTGAATGTAATCAAAGTTAATCATTTGAAATGATAAACATAATAATCTAAGTAATGAGAAATTAAGTAAGTTTTAGAAAATAGATGGAAAAATGTTCTGTAGTTGCGCAATTGGTATTTGAAAATGAGTATAAAATGTTTGTCTATATCTTACACATATTTTTATAAATAAAAAAATATATAAGTCCAAGGATCTCTCTTCATAACACAATTCTTCATCCTGGTATGTGCAGTGTAAATGTCCGGTATATACAAGAAAAATTACGGAACATTTCACGTAATACGGAGGCAAGAATCATTTTAGGCGAGTTTCTGTAGAAATATTGGGGAAAAATCTGAAACATCCAGGGAATTTTCCGGTCTGTCACTGAAGGAGCACGAGAAGGTTACATAATTTTTTTATGGGAATTGTAAACTCTAGCAGGTGTTTCATGAATTATTATATTAGAGAATTTTTACGCAACATTCCATAAATTTGGCGTATTTTTTTGGGTAGTTTTTATTAGTCTTATTGCTGCGTGTATTGAAACTATAATAATTAAAGCTGTATAAATACAAAGTCTAAGTATGTCGTTGGGTAATTGCATAATTTGTTATTAACAGGACATTCAGAATGTCGATGGGGTCATTGGATATTGATAAATGCACGTCAGTGACGACTGGTTGCATTTAAAACAGCCAATAAAAACGGATGATTAGTACTCGTTCTGTTCAGTCTGTTCTCAGTGTTCGGTGTTTGAAGAATAGCAGTATCTTCTAGCGATGAAGATATTCATTGGAATCGGTCTTATTTTACTTGTGCTCTCAGTACGTGGAGAAAATGAAGTTTGCAAAACTGATAAGGAGGGTTTCAAGATTTGCAGGAAACCAACTACCGTGATAACGCATGTAACCAGAAGAATGGGCTCAGCTGTGGATGCAAAGACACATTTCGACATGAAATTTGATGATGATACAATAATCGGACCCAATGCATTCCACACCTTGCCCCTTACAAGCATTCTTTTGGGGATGCCATATACGCAGGAACGAAATCGACTTGCTCTTCGCACATTGACTCTGCATCCGGATTCATTTTTAACCTCATCGAATATACGCAGCCTTACCATCATCCGTGCAAATGTCAATCTGCCTGGGAATAAATTCAATCTGAATACCGCAGTAGAATGGTTACGATTCATTGCCTGCGGTTTCACGGAAGTACCATCTGAAATGATAGAATCATTACCAAATCTTGATTATCTCTCATTCGAAGGTAATTATTTACGTGTCATTCGGTCACATGCTTTTTCTCCGCTGAAACTTCTCAGAGAATTGAATTTGGAAGGAAACGGCATCGTCAGCCTGGAATTAGGTTGTTTTGACGGTCTAGACAATTTAGAAGTATTGGACCTAGCTGATAACCAATTTTCTCCAATCTCTGGTATTTTCAATGGCCTGAAGAAGCTGACGCGTCTTGATATCGATAATGCATTCGGGGAGCATCAGTTCAATTTTGATATTCTTCAGGACACTCCAGCCCTTGTCAACATCAGAATGGGGAACAATAAAATCAAGGAGTTGAAACCTGATATGTTTTCTATTTGTCCACAACTAACTTATCTGTCTTTGTTTAGAAATAATATCTCTAGTGTGCCGAAAGGGGTGTTTAATACGATGAATTCACTGAAAATGGTTCATCTGGCCCAAAACGAGATTGGGACGATTGAGCCAGGTGCATTCTCTGGATTGAATATGAATATGATTTATCTCTTGAATAATAAAGTGGATAAAGTCATTGAGACAGGTACCTTCAGTGATCTATCTGTTCTGGACATATGTCTGAGGGCCAGCAACATTCGAGAGCTGAAACCAAGAGCTTTCAATGGCCTTTCTGCAAGGGAGCTTGATTTAAGTGAGAATAAATTCACACAAATCGGCGCTGAAGATTTTTATGGACTCAAGGTTGAGGAACTCAGGTTGAAGAACAATAATATTACTGCTATTGCTCCAAATGCATTCAAGAATACTAAAGTGAAGAAACTGAGGCTGTTTGGTAATCTCATCGATGATAATGATAGAGGGACTTGGGGTCTTCCTGAAACAACAGAAATATTGTGGAGTGAATACTCACGTTGACCAGCAAGATTAACAGTCGAGCAGAGAATACTTTCCTGATTGAATGGATTCTACAGATATCGATTGAATGTAGTTCATAAGCATGACATTTATTCCCAGATTTAATTCTAGATGATAGAATTAGAAAACCCAAATATCTGGTAGTAACTGGATAGCTCTCACAAATATATTACAATTTATTCCAATATTTGTCGTTATCTGTCTTAGCAGATTACTCGGAGTTAAATATTCCACGTGATCTTTTCTATCTTAATTCTTTTCTATTCCGTGTATCGGCGTTGTGGATGTAATCAAAGTTAATCATTTGAAATGATAAACATAATAATCTAAGTAATGAGAAATTAAGAAAGTTTTAGAAAATAGATGGAAAAATATTCTGTAGTTGCGCAATTGGTATTTGAAAATGAGTATAAAATGTTTGTCTATATCTTACACATATTTTTATAAATAAAAAAATATATAAGTCCAA